TCGTCTTGAAAGGATGCTTCATGGTACCATGCTTCCACCTCCAGAAACTGTAATTGGTGAAGATGGAGTTGCAACCGTCAATGAAGAACATGAAGAGTTTTTGGCCCAAGACAGTGCATTGGCTTCTTGGTTGCTCTCGACGGTTAGCCCTCATCTACTTCCACAATTCGTCGGTGCAGAGACTTCTACTCAGGTATGGAACAAGGTTTTGCAGTTTTTTGCCAATCGCTCTGCCTCTGCTGTCATGAGCTTACACTACAAGCTTCAATCCCTCAAGAAAGGAGGTGACAGCATGAGGAGTTACCTCACAAGAGTGAAAGAGGTTACTGATGCCTTGGATTCATGTGGAAGTCCAGTGTCAACATCTGAACATGTGGCAAGCGTTCTTAGAGGTCTAACGAGGGAATATCAACCTTTTATTGCTGTTATATCTGCCATGCGTGACAGCTTATCTTTTGACAGCATCTGCACGATGCTTGTTGATGCTGAAACTCAGCTTGAAGGGCTCGATTTCCAATCCGATTCTCTGCCTGTCAGTGCCAATCTTGTTCAAGGAAAAGGTGAGGGTGGTTCTTATAAGAATCAGGAAAAACAGCAGCCCCGATTTAATCACTCGTCCTACACGCGTGGAAGATCCCGTGGCAGAGGTAGAACTCGACCCAGGGTTCAATGCCAACTTTGTGGCAAGATTGGTCATCTTGTAAGCCAATGTTGGCACAGATTTGATGAGGATTTTTCTGGCATTTCGATTGATGATCATACTGGTGGTCTTGAATCCTCAAAAGCATACTATGTTGCTGATAGCAAAAATGAAACTCCATGTGCCCACTGTAATCACAGCAGCGTTCGTCGAGATGATAACTGGAGCGATATGAAAGGCCAAGCTCATGCTGTGTCTGCTGGTCAAGACCAGTGGGTAATTGACTCCGGTGCTACACACCACGTTACCTCCAATGCATCCTCTATAACCCCTCACTCGAGCCTTAACAACCCTGGTAAGTTGATGGTAGGAAGTGGTGATTTTCTGCCAGTTCGTTTGGTTGGTAAGGCTGAACTGCATGCTTCATCTAGAACCTTGGCCTTAAGTAATATTTTGCATGTTCCTTCCATCACTAAAAACTTGCTTTCTGTGTCAAAGCTTGCTAGGGATAATAGTGTGTTCCTAGAATTCCATGCCAAAACTTGTTATGTTCGTGATGAAGCCTCTAAGTCAATCCTGCTGCAAGGAGAAGAATGCAATGGTTTGTATACCTTCACAGCTAGTGGAATCCGATGCAAAGACAGGGTGGTTGAAGCACAAACGGCCATAGCTACCTCCACAAACTCAGAAGTCTGGCATAGAAGATTGGGTCACCCAGCTTATGCTACTCTTACTAAAATCTGTAAACAAATCGATGTAAAAACAGTTGAAGATGTTAATAAAAATTGCACTGCTTGTCATCTTGGTAAAAGTCACAAGTTGTCGTTTTCTCACTCGGACAGTGTATATAATAAGCCATTCGAGCTCGTGTATTCTGATCTCTGGGGACCTCCACATGTATCATCCAATGGCTTCAGGTTTTATGTTTCGTTTGTTGATGCTGCCACTCGTTTCACTTGGTTGTATCTACTGAGATCAAAGGCTGAAGCTTTAGCTGCGTTTCACTTGTTCCAAAAGCTAGTTGCCACACAGTTTGGGGGAACAATTAAAGCCCTCCAGACCGATTGGGGAGGAGAATTTCGACCCCTGACTGTTGAATTAAGCAAAGCAGGAGTTATTCACCGTCTCACTTGTCCTCACACGTCCGAGCAGAATGGAGTGGTGGAACGTAAACATAGACACTTGGTCGAGATGGCTTTAGTGCTACTTGCACAAGCATCCATGCCAATCAAGTTCTGGTCATATGCCATTCAAACTTCAGTGCATCTTGTTAACAGGTTACCTTCAAAAGTACTCATAGACAAATCACCATTTGAGATGCTACATGGCAAAACTCCAGACTACAACAGTCTGCGAGTGTTTGGATGCAGATGCTTCCCTCATCTAAGACCGTTCCTGCAACACAAGCTTGAGTTTAGATCCCAGCTGTGTACGTTCCTAGGATACAGCTCGTAGCACAAAGGATTTCAGTGCTTAGCTAACAACGGACGTGTTTTTATTTCCAGGCATGTGATATTTAATGAAAATATATTTCCTTTTGCAGGAAATTCTGAAAAAAATTCTGTTGCGATCTCGTCTGAGAAGATGACACAGCCGCTTAAGTTGGTCACTGGTCTTACGAGATTGAAATCCTCACAACGTGGAAACAACAGGTTGTCTTCAGGTGTCAGTAGTAGCAATTCGTTGACTAGTTCACGTACTACAACTCCCAGTCGTGATACGCTAGGAACCGAGGCTCCTACCACTCATGGAGCTGATTTGCATGGGATTAATTCAGAACAAAGGCAACATAGCCTGGCCATAAATGCTGGCACTGGAATTGAAGAGCAGAGCGTACGTGGTTCGGCCATAAATGATGATGCAGGAATTGAAGAACAACACGTGTATGGTTCGACTATAAATGAAGATACTGGAATTGAGGACACTGAAATTGAGGCTATCCCGGTCAATACTCATTCGATGATGACCCGCAGTAAACATGGAGTGTTTAAACCCAAGATATATCTGGGAACTGCTGATGATGATGTTCCCTGCAGTGTGTTTGAAGCACTCAAGTCACCAAATTGAAAGGAAGCTGTGCTTGAAGAGTATAACGCCCTACAGCGTAATGGTGCTTGGGAGTTAACCAAACTACCTGAAGGAAGGAAGATTATAGGCTGCAAATGGTTGTTCAAGGTAAAAAAGAACCCGGATGGCACTGTCCACCGTTACAAGGCCCGCCTGGTGGCTAGAGGTTTTTCTCAAATCCCAGGCTATGACTTTAGAGATACTTTTAGCCCCGTTGTCAGGTTCAATACACTAAATGTCATCCTGTCACTAGCTGTAACTAACAATTGGACCTTAAGGCAAGTCGATGTGAACAATGCCTTCTTGAATGGTGACCTTCAGGAGGTGGTCTTCATGCAGTAACCACCGGGCTTTGAACAAACCTCACCTGATGGAAGTAAGCTGGTGTGTTGCCTGAAAAAGGCTTTGTATGGCTTGAGGCAAGCACCGAGAAGTTGGCACACCAAGCTACGAGATAGCTTGTTGAGCATTGGATTCAAAGAATCAAAAGCGGATGTCTCATTATTCATTAAGAAGGAGGGCTTGCAATATGTATACTTACTGGTTTATGTTGATGATATCACCATCACAGGTCACTCTAGTCCTAGAATTGATGAAGTGGTTCGACTGCTGAGTGATAAATTTTCTCTAAAGGACTTGGGACAACTCTCGTATTTTCTGGGGATTGAGGTCAAACGAACCATCGGTCACCTAGCGTTGTCACAGAAGAAGTTTATTATGGAACTTCTTGAGAAGGCAAATATGTTGGAAGCCACTGCTACACCAACTCCCATGGTCGCTGCTACCAAGTTACGATGTGATGATGGAGAACTTATCGCCGATGCTCACTCCTATCGTAGAATTGTTGGAGGATTATTATATGTATGTCACACAAGGCCTGACATTGCCTTCTGCGTAAACAAGGTCGCGCAGTTCATGTATGCTCCACGGCAGACGCATATGGCTGCAGTCAAACGAATACTACGGTATTTGGTTGGTACAATGAACTTTGGCATGGTGTTCACTGCTGATGGAAATGATGTGAAGATGGTTGCCTTTGCTGATGATGATTAGGGTGGCTGTCTCGATGACAGGAGGTCAATCTCCGGACATAGCGTGTTCATTGGCAATAACTTGGTTGCCTGGAACTCGAAGAAGAAGAAGTCCGTGTCTCGCTCCACCATGGAGGCCGAGTACAATAGCATTGCTGACACAACTGCAGATGTGGTGTGGATTGGTGCTTTGTTGAGCGAACTTGGTGTCTGCCAAAAAGAGGAGCCAGTCATATGGTGTGATAACACAAGTGTTGTTGCCCTCAGTGCAAATCCTGTCTATCATGCCCACACCAAGCATGTCGACCTCGATATACATTTTGTGCGAGAGAAGGTTGCTGCCAAACTAATGAGAGTCAATTATGTTCCTGCTGCTCACCAGATTGCTGATGGATTAACCAAGCCCTTGGCTCGAAATGCCTTTGAAGAATTTCGTGCTAAGTTGTGTGTGAAATTGTGCTAAGGGTCCGGAGAGGAGAGAAAACAGGGAGAATGTTGAAGTATGCTGGTGGTACTCGCTGATGACTATTGTGTGTGGTAGTTTGAACTTCAAATGTAATCGGTTGTAGCTGATAAAGATACAACAATTGAGTTGTTAGGTGGTTTTAATTTCTATTTAAACAGTTACAGTCAGTTGAGTCTTGAGTTCTTGTATACTAGTTAAGAATCATGTAGACCTGTTGCTATAAAAGACGTGTAAAGATTAATGAATGAATCAAGAAAGTCATATTCCTTCTCAACTTGTTTCTACATTTACAAGAGTATTCTGCTTTCTCAACATGGTATCATTCGCTAAAAGATTCTGGCGTCATTTTCGCTTCCGCCGTTGCGCCGACGATTGAATTCCTTTACTCTCCCGCCGTTGCTACGGCATAGTTTGTAGATTTTTCTGATCTCCAGTTTTGTTTTCGTTGTTCTGTTGCTTCTACTCCTAGTTGCTTCCATTCTCTTCGATCTCGTTATTTTTGGCGTGGTTACTGTGGTTCTCTTTGTTGCTCGTCGTTAACACTGTTTTTCTGTTGGATTAACTACTTCTTCGCTCATTGGAGTTGACATGAAGTCGTCACCGACTCTTCCTCAGTCGACGATCTGATTCAAATCATCTCGTTAGCCACAATTTTTTTTTGGTCGCATGTTTTCCGATCTGATAGATAGTGTTGTCGTTGTAGCAAATGCTCATTTTTTGCGATCCTGGTAACGTTTTCTCGTCGGCGATTGACCTTCTCAACCGCTGTTCTTGATTGCTTTATCTGCTACGGTACATGTGGTTTATCTTTGTCGTCATCATAGTTACTGGGAATCTTCTCAATTCATCTTCTATCTCTGTTCCTGTTCGGTGTGCATGCTTCCAATCTATTCGACCAAATGTTTCAATGATGTTGCTGGTGTCTGATTTGTTTCAGTAGAACGGATGAAATCATTCAACTATGATCCTGCTACCATTTCTCTTCCGCTTTTTGGTCTTCTTATTCAATCGGCCTCGCTCTTCTCGAGCAACTCATTAGCGGCAAGAAAGATGCTGCCAGAAACTTTGCTTGTGGCCACTACACAATTGGCAAGGAGATCGTCAACTTGTGCTTAGACTGTATCAGAAAGCTTGCTGATAACTGTACTGGTTCTGGTCTTGGTTCTCTCCTTCGGGTGCGTCTGTCCGTTGATTACAGCAAGAAATCCAAGCTAGCTTTTGAACCCTCTTCTATGATGGCCAAGTGCAACCCTCGTCATGGCAAGTACATAGCTTGTTGTTTGATGTACCGTGGTGATTTCATGCCCAAAGACATCAACGTTGTCGTTACCACCATCAAGACCAAGCGCACCATTCAGTTTGTGGACTGGTGCCCCACCGGATTCAAGTGCGACAACTTAATATGAACGAGTGGACAAAGCTAGATTTTTCTCTTATTGCACCGCTATTTTTGCATAGTAGTATAATTCTTTTGTGTGTTTAATTTTGTATTCATTTTGTTGCTTTTGTTGCTTCTATCTCAAAGTGTCATGGATCTTGAAAGCTTCACAGCCAAGAGTCCATAAAAAATATGTCAACAAACCTTGTAAAAGAGGGTGAAGAATAAAGAAATGAAGGTGAATAAGAAGAACGAAAGGAAGCATCAACACTTTCGATTCAAAGTGAACGGAAGGAAGCATCGGCATTTTCGATTCAAGAAGAACGAAAGGAAGCACCGGCACTTTCGATTCAAGTGAACGGAAGGAAGCGTCAGCACTTTCGATTCAATTGTTCATTTTTTCAATTGTTCAGGGCTAAGATGTAGAAGAGAAGAAGAAGAAGAAGTAGAGGGAATGTTAGCATGATATATAAGCATCATGCACGTGCTGCTGCTCTTACTAATATAGCTCACATGGTATGCTAGTTGAGTAGTTAGCAGAGGTTGTTAGTCAGTCAGTTTAGGTTGTTAAAGTCAGTTAAGGAGTCTGTTAAGCATAAGCTAGCATCTTGAAGTTGTATATAAACAACAACATCGTTGTACATCATGCAGATTGATTGAGTATGAAATACAAAGTATAGTTTCTTCATTTCTATTGGATTCTCAACAAGACAGAAGAAGATTTTATTAATTTGAATAACTCGATATTTGGCATTTTATATTTGTTAATATTGTTAGTTCTATTTATTTATTGACTCGAAGGTTATTTCAATCATTTATATTAGGTATTACTTACATTAGATTATCTTAATTTGTTCATTCAAAATCATCAACTCCATTTCTATATACCAACAAAAGATAAAAAGATCGAATAATTAAAAGTTCAATGTATTTATATAAACTTTTGAATCTGAATCTAATGTTATTCGACTTTGAATATAATTAAAACCCATTGAACTAATGGATACTAACTTATTACATTTATTATATTCTTAACTTAAATTATTAAATATATTCTAGTATTATCTTAAATTAGTAAATATAATTTATCCTACCAACAGGGTTGGTTCAAGTGGTAAGGAACTTGATATCGCTTAAGCAAGGTCTTAAGTTCGAGTCCTTTGGGGTTAACTGTGATTTCCACTCCTTTGGGAGCTTTAATGGTGGCATTATATACAGATGGAGGACTTACATTGTGAGTTGTGACCCTTCTCATGAAAACACCTATAGTTTGCCTTTTACCGCTCATCGATGGGTGGTTAAGGGCATCGCAGAAGCAACGAGGAGCAATTTAAGGACTTTTTGTCAACTAAATGAACCATTGATGGTCTACTGTAGCCTTCATGGCATAGGAGGAACTGTATGTAAGTCATTTGATTGCAGTCGGTGTCCAAGTAGGGTGAAACGGTTTCACCTAGACGGCTACACCGGCAACATGCGACGAGGCCATGGAAGTGCCTAACGTTAGATTGAACTTCGGATGATGGGTGTTACCTTTTAACCCGGTGAGACGGCGAGTAAATTCATGAGAGTGTAAGCTGCCCAGATTCCCACACCAGGGGCTGCAATATATCAGGTTGTATATATACAATAAGTTTGGAAGAACATGATGTCGAGAATGTAAGCTCGAAACCCATTTCCACCGGAGGTCACCGTAATAATTCCCTTCTTCAAGACATGAAATGCATTGACCGATATAGAATCCGTGAAAAAAACCCCGTCACCCTGCCTACGGATATCAATATAACATCTACACTGTCGTTGATGGTATCGTTCATGGTGGCCAAGATGTCCATGTCGGCACAACCTGAGCTAACCCAACTCATTTTCTATGTGCATGGCTCTCCTATCCAATGACTTTCCAAATGTTCCAAAGCTTTGGATAATAAAGATTGGGATGGCGCAACATGTTCTGCTTGCATGGAGTGCCCTCACAGTGCTGTTCTTCTTCTTCGTTCATCCCATTACAAGGGTTGACGTCCCTAAATGCGTGCAACTAGCTTTCGATACTTAAACTGCCTTGAAAGGTACAAGAGATTCCACTAAAGTAGTCCCTAAATGGATCTGACCCTCGAGAAAAAATGGACAAGGCTTGAACGGGAGCAGGTCAAGGGTAAATACCAAACTGTGATTAAACGATTATTTTTTATTAAAAGTGAGTTAAAGATCCCGTCAAAGTATGGCCAATATTACTAAAAATCACCAAATTAGCTTTTCTAACTGCCACATCAGATTACCGTGACTTAATTAACGGTGAGTGGTCGATTTGTTACAAACCGATAACGTTAGTAATCAATTTGTTACTTTTGAAATTTTAGTAGCAAAAACGAAAATTTACTCAAATATTAATGACTATTTATGTAGTTTACCCTATTTTTTAAATGTCAAATCAATTTCTCATTGTATTGATTTAGGATTAACGATATGGACTTTAGAAGGGTAGTTATGTTGTAAGATAGCCTTAATATACGATTAAAGAAATGTATTATCGAAAATGTTAATATTTTTTAATATTTTCGGTAAAATATTACCTAAAACATTATTTTTTATCGGAAATATTAATTTCGCTACCTAATTTCTGGTAGAAAAAAATATTTTAGGTAGCGTCCAATATTAACATTTTCGGTAGAAAAAATAATATTTAAGGTAACGTTTTACCAAAAATATTAAAAAATATTAATATTTTCGATAACGTCTTTATTTAACTTTATATTAAAGTTGTCGTACTTTAGACATCCTCTTGAGAAAGTAAAGAACTAGAACCAAACCTTTTCTAAACCGTTGATCAAACTCGAATGTACATAAAACGTAGGGGACCACTAGAACAGTTTACCCATAATCTGAAATTTATACTGCACTTAATTCGAAAGGGCAAAGCGCATCCTCACTGTCTTTCATCTTTGGCATTCTCCCTCTCTGCCTGTCTGTCTTTGGAGCTCTGCTAATTTTAAGCTTAGACCTTTTTCATCGATTCTTCTCTGTTTCAAGATATGGGTAAGCTTCATTCTCCATTAATTCTTCGTTCTATTGTTAATTGTGGAAGGAATCTTTCTATTTCCCGCTCTTCGTTTAACACCATTGCTTCCCAGATTAAAGCTTTAATCAAGAAATCAATGCCTGTAAAGGGAAACCCAAAAAAGCATGATCGTTTTGATGACGTTGACGATGCTTTGGCTTTGTTCGATAATATGATTGAGAAGTACCCAAAGCCTTCAATTGTGGAATTCAATAAACTATTGTCAGCCATTGTTGGGATGAAACGTTATGCCGTTGTGATTTCTATGTGTAGCCAAATGGAATTATTTGGAATTCTCCATAATGTTTATTCTTTGACCATCTTGATTAACTGCTTTTGTCAATTAGGCCGAGTTGATTTTGGGTTGTCTATTTTGGGGAAAATGCTGAAATTAGGTGTTGAACCTAATGTCGTAACCTTTTCCACTTTGATTAATGGACTTTGCAAACACAGCAAGTTTTCTCAGGCTGTGAGTTTGTTTGATGAAATGGTTGAGAAAGGGTATCAACCGAATTTGATTGTTTACAGTACAAATACTTAATGGGTTGTGTAAGACAGGCAACACCGAAAGAGCTGTTAGGTTTTTAAGGATGATGGAAGATAGAGGTTTCACACCTAATATTGTCACATACAACACTGTCATTGACTGTCTCTGTAAGAATGGGTTGCTGAAGGAGGCTCTCAGTCTCTTCTCTGAATTGAAGGCTAAAGGAAATCGACCAAATATCATTACTTATAGTTGCTTAATTCATGCTATGTGCAATTTGGGCCAGCAAAATGAGGTAACAGGGCTTTTGAATGAAATGAGGGAGAACAATATTTCACTCAATATTTTCACCTATAGTATATTGATCGACGCGTATTGCAAGGATGGTAGGATTTCAGAAGCTATAGATACCATTGACACAATGAGGAAGCAAGGCATTGAGGCTAATGTTGTCACGTATAGTATATTGGTTGATACATATTGCAAGCAGGGAATGGTTTCCAAAGCTGAAGATATGGTCGACACAATGAGAAAACAAGGCATTGAGCCAGATGTTGTCACCTATAATGCATTGATAGACGGCCATTGCTTGCAAAACGAAATGGGTAAAGTTAGTAAAGTATTTCAGTTGATGATTCAGAAAGGTTGTGCACCTGTTATACGGAGTTACAACATCATGATCAACGGATATTGCAAAGCTAAAAGGTTTGACGAAGCAATGGGACTCTTTTGTGAAATATCTCGAACAGGACCAACCCCAGATACGTTCACATATACCATTGTAATGCAAGGTATGTTTCAATTAAGGAGAGTTTCTGCTGCATGTGAATTTTTAAGGGAGATGCTTGCTTCTGGACTAGTTCCAAGTCAAGTGACCTATTTGATTTTGTTGGATGGTTTTTGCAAAAGTGGTAAACTCAATGAGGCATTGAAAGTTTTTCAGTCAATGCGGAATGGTGGGTTGGAACTCGATATTGTCTTTTATAATATCCTAATCGATGGCTTGTGGAAAGCTGGGCATACTGAATCTGCAAAGAGAATGTTTAACGAACTGTCCGTGAATACTTTAAAACCCACCGTTTACACATATAATATAATGATTAATGGATTTTGTAAAGAGGGATTCGCGGATGAAGCATACCGATTGTTTAGGAGCATGGAAGATGATGATTGTTCGCCTAATAGCATCTCTTATAATGTAATGATCCAGGGGTTTTTCCGGAACAGCTCTACCTCAAAGGCAGTTCAACTTCTTACAGAAATGGTCGGTAAGGGATTTTCTGCAGATTTCAGCACGTCCACCATGTATATGGATCTACTCTTACAATCTAATAAATCAATCTTGATTTAAAATGTTGGGTTGTTGGTGTAACGATCATTAGTTGTCAATGTGAATGAACTGGGTTCATTACTGTGACAAATTAATTGTTTTTCTTTAGAGCTATGTTGAGGTGTATTTATAAACATTGAGGTCTATTTTGATGTCATAATAATCTGTATTCCTTAAACCTTGACTGGTTCTGTTTTACTATTTCGTTTATCATGTTTAAATTGGATTAATATAATACTAACTGGTAACAGAACCTTGTAGTTTGGCACCTCCCACTTCATGTCTTGTATGGAGTTTTGCTTTAAAACCCGTTCTAAGTTTAGCAGTTTTCCAATGTGACCTACTAAATCTTTCAATTTGGTCCACTTGGAAAGTTCAACTAAACCCAAATATTTTACAAACAAACATGAAATGAACATTGGAATTGAACATTACACGATGAATTAAAGAGTAAGTGTTGGTGCCCTTCATGCTTGATGGTATAAGGAACTAAGGCACACCTTAGGCAAAACTTATTACCTCGAATAACAATATAAAACAAACCACTGCAACGGCGATCACACAAGCTACACCATTCCCAATTATGGGCATCAAGGGTGATGGCAGGTAGTATTCCCCGAAAACACTCCAGGTTTCGCGTTGGATGCATTTGCTCGCTCTTCCCTCCAGAAGATCGGGCTTGATTACAGCCATGGTATTTCTCCCATCTTTCTGTTAGACTTCTTACACTATTAAAAGTTAAAACCGTGGCCAATTAATTGATTATGACTTTGATTATCTTGCTCCTTTTATACAGGCACAGGGGACGGTGTTGGAGCTGCATTGAATGTCCATGAAGGTCCACAAAGTATTAGCTAAAGATATGGTCATATGGAAATACCACTCCCCTAGGTAAAGGCATGATTGTTAGCAACGAACCTGGTTGCTACGAAGATCATGCCTTCGGAGTTCAGATCGGTGTACAAAGTAATCCAGCCATATCTCTTTGTTGTTAAACTTCATATTGAGCTACGAATAGTTTTTATTACTAACTTGGGATCTTATCATCTTGCAGAATCTCCCTTGTGTGCAAGAGATTAATACACCAAATCGTTATGGAGGAATTGAATATCTCGGATTCGAAAAACTAACATTTCTCCCCATTCAGGTATTTCAATTTCACATATGCATTTTGATTCCACTCATTTCATTCAACTATTTGCATTACGAGTTCAAGGATACATTACATATTTAGTCATTCAACTACTCTTGCAGTTCCGTTTTGGTCACTAAATTATTATTTTTCTTCAAAATCATCCTTAAACTTGAGTTAATTTTCGTTTGATATTTTTTGCCCAAGCATAACCTTATTCTTTGACCAGGTTGTTGGTATTTCTAGGGGTGTTCAAAAGGTTAATTTGACAACAAACGAACCAAATTTCATTAACCAAATTAATCGAACTTTTTTTATTTAATCATTATTTTTGAAAATGTTAACCGAATTTCCATTACTTGTAATCTCATTGATATGGATTTCAACTTTTGTATGGATTAAGTGAAAACATACATGTAACTTAGATATGTTAGATTATAGAAAGCATTAAACTCTTAAACAATATCATAAAAAATAAGAATTTGAAGTTTCAGATTATTAAACTTTAGAAGGGACTTAACAAAAAAAAATCAAATTCAAATTAAAAAATACTTTAAGGAGTGGTTCCATACAAAGTGTATAGTTCAAGGGGAATGATGCAATTAAACCATTTTTACTTTAAGCCTATATCTAAATACCAACTTACAGTTCGAAAGTGCAAAACCCATCTTCTCTTTCTAAGTTTCATCCTTGGCATTCTCTTCTCTGCCTCTCTGTCTTTGAGCACTGCTAATTTCAAGCTCAGTCCTTTTACTTCGATTCTGCTGAGTTTCAAGATATGGGTAAGCTTCATTCTCCACTAATTCTTCATTCTATTGTTAATGGTGGAAGGAATCTCTCTATTTTCCACTCTTCTTTTACCACCAGTGCTACCCGCATTAAAGCTTTAAACAAGAATTCAGTGCCTGTGAAGGGAAACCCAAAGAAGCATGATCCTTTTGACAATGTTGATGATGCTTTAGCTTTGTTCGATAAGATGATTGAGAAGTACCCAAAGCCTTCAATTGTGGAATTCACTAAACTATTGGCAGCCATTGTTAGAATGAAGCATTATACCGTTGTTGTTTCTACGTGTCGCCGAATGGAATTATCTGGAGTTTCCCATGACGCTTTTTCTTTCAATGTCTTGATTAACTCCTTTTGTCAATTAGGTCGAATTGATTTTGGGTTGTCTGCATTGGGGAAAATGCTGAAGTTAGGTGTTGAACCTAATGTCGTAACCTTCTCCACTTTGATTAATGGACTTTGCAAACACAACAAGTTCTCCCGGGCTGTCAGTTTGTTTGATGAAATGGTTGAGAAAGGGTATCAACCTGATTTGATCGTTTACAATACAATACTTAATGGGTTGTGTAAGATCGGCAACACCGAAAGAGCTGTTAGGTTTTTAAGGATGATGGAAGAAAGAGGTTTCACACCTAATGTTGTCTCATATGACACTGTCATTGACTGTCTTTGTAAGAACGGGTTGCTGAACGAGGCTCTCAATCTCTTCTCTGAATTGAAGGCTAAGGGAAATCGACCAAATATCATTACTTACAATTGCTTAATTCATGCTATGTGCAATTTGTGCAGGGAAAAGGAGGTAACAAGGCTTTTGAATGAAATGAGGAAGAACAATATTTCACTTGATATTTTCACGTATAATATCTTGATCGATACATATTGCAAGAAGGGTATGATTTCCGAAGCTGTAGATACCGTTAATGCAATGAGGGAGCAAGGCATTAAGCCTGATGTTGTCACATATAATATATTGGTTGATGCTTATTGCAAGGAGCGAACGGTTTCCAAAGCTAAAGATATTATTGACACCATGAGAAAGCAAGGGATTGAGCCTAATGTTGTCACGTATAATATATTGGTCGATGCTTATTGCAAGGAGGGAATGATTTCCAAAGGTGAAGGTATTGTCAACACAATGAGAAACCAAAGCATCGAGCCTAATGTAGTCACATATAATGCATTGATGAACGGGCATTGCTTGCAAAACGAAATTGGTAAAGCTATCAGAGTATTTCAGTTGATGATTCAGAAAGGTTGTGCAGCTAACACACAGAGTTACAACATCATGATCAACGGATATTGCAAAGCTAAAAGGTTCGACGAAGCAATGAGACTCTTTCATGAAATATCTCGAACAGGACCAATCCCGGATATTGTCACATATAATATTCTAATGGAAGGTATGTGTCAAATAAGGAGAGTTTCTGCTGCATGCGAACTTCTAAGGGAGAGGCTTGCTTCTGGACTAGTTCCAAGTGAAGAGACCTATTCGATTTTGCTGCATGGTTTTTGCAAAAGTGGTAATCTCAAAGAGGCATTGAATTTTTTTCAAGGAATGCGGAATATTGGGTTGGAACTCAGTACTATCTTTTATAATATCGTAATCGATGGCTTGTGGAAAGCTGGGCATACTGAATCTGCAAAGAGAATGTTCAACGAACTGTCCGTGAATGCTTTAAAACCCACCGTTTACACATATAATATAATGATTAATGGATTTTGTAAAGGGATTCGCAGATGAAGCATACCGATTGTTTAGGAGCATGGAAGATGATGATTGTTCGCCTAATAGCATCACTTTTAATGTAATGATCCAGGGGTTTTTCCGGAACAGCTCTACCTCAAAGGCAGTTCAACTTATTACAGAAATGGTCGGTAAGGGATTTTCTGCAGATTTCAGCACGTCCACCATGTATGTGGATCTGCTCTTACAATCTAGTAAATCAATCTTGATTTAAAATGTTGGGTTGTTGGTGTAAAGAACATCGATCTCATTGATATGGATTTCGACATTTGTATCGATTAAGTGTAAACATACATGCAACTTAGATATGTTAGATTATAGAAAGTATTAAACACTTCAACAATGTCATAAAAAATAAGAACTTGAAGTTTCAGATTATTGAACTTTAGAAGGGACTTAACGAAAAAAAAAATCAAATTCAAAATAAAAAATAGCTTTAGTGATGATTTAAAAAAATTAATTAAGTGATTAAAATGAAATTGTATAAATAATTGAGCAACTAAATATATAATTTATCATTTAACTTTTTAACAGAATTAACAGTTTAAAATAAATAAGATAAATAGTTTAAACTTTGTATAGTTCAAGGGGAATGATGCAATTAAACCATTTTTACTTTAAGCCAGTATCTAAATAGCAACTTATAGTTCGAAAGGGCAAAACCCATATTCTCTTTCTAAGTTTCGTCTTTGGTATTCTCCTTCTTTGCCTCTCTGTCTTTGAGCGCTGCTAATTTCAAGCTCAGTCCTTTTACTCTGATTCTGCTGAGTTTCAAGTTATGGGTAAGCCTCATTCTCCACTAATTCTTCATTCTATTGTTAACGGTGGAAGGAATCTCTCTATTTTCCGCTCTTCTGTTAACACCATTGCGCCGCATAAAGCTTTAAACAAGAATTCATTGCCTGTGAAGGGAAACCCAAAAAAGCATGATCCTTTTGACAATGTTGATGATGCTTTAGCTTTGTTCGATAAGATGATTGAGAAGTACCCAAATCCTTCAATTGTGGAATTCACTAAACTATTGACAGACATTGTTAGAATGAAGCATTATACCGTTGTTGTTTCTCTGTGTCACCGAATGGAATTATCTGGAGTTTCCCATAACGCTTTTTCTTTCAATGTCTTGATTAACTGCTTTTGTCAATTAGGTCGAATTGATTTTGGGTTGTCTGTATTGGGGAAAATGCTGAAGTTAGGTGTTGAACCTGATGTCGTAACCTTTTCCACTTTGATTAATGGACTTTGCAAACACAGCAAGTTTTCTCAGGCTGTGAGTTTGTTTGATGAAATGGTTGAGAAAGGGTACCAACCGAATTTGATCGTTTACAATACAATACTTAATGGGTTGTGTAAGATCGGCAAAACCGAAAGATCTGTTAGGTTTTAAGGATGATGGAAGAAAGAGGTTTCACACCTAATGTTGTCTCATATGACACTGTCATTGACTGTCTCTGTAAGAATGGGTTGCTGAAGGAGGCTCTCAGTCTCTTCTCTGAATTGAAGGCTAAAGGAAATCGACCAAATATCATTACTTATAGTTGCTTAATTCATGCTATGTGCAATTTGGGCCAGCAAAATGATGTAACAGGGCTTTTGAATGAAATGAGGGAGAACAATATTTCACTCAATATTATCACCTATAATATATTGATCGACACGTATTGTAAGGACGTAGGATTTCTGAAGCTATAGATACCATTGACACAACGAGGAAGCAAGGCATTGAGGCTAATGTTGTCACGTATAATATATTGGTTGATACATATTGCAAGCTGGGAATGGTTTCCAAAGCTGAAGATATGGTCGACACAATGAGAAAACAAGGCATTGAGCCAAATGTTGTCACCTATAATACATTGATAGATGGCTATTGCTTGCAAAACAAAATGGATAAAGCTAGTAGAGTATTTCAGTTGATGATTCGGAAAGGTTTTGCACCTGATATACGTAGTTACAGCATCATGATCAACAGATATTGCAAAGCTAAAAGGTTTGACGAAGCAATTGAACTCTTTCATGAAATATCTCGGACAGGACCAACCCCGAATACTGTCACATACAACACTCTAATGCAAGGCATGCTTCAATTAAGGAGTGTTTCTGCTGCATGTGAACTTTTAAGGGAGATGCTTGCTTCTAGACTTGTTCCAAGTCGAGCAACGTATTCGATTTTTCTGGATGGTTTTTGCAAAAGTGGTAAACTCAATGAGGCATTGAAAGTTTTTCAGTCAATGCGGAATGGTGGGTTGGAACTCGATATTGTCTTTTATAATATCCTGATCGATGGCGCTTACAAATGTGGGCATATTAGAGTCGCAAAGGAATTGTTTCAAGAACTGTCCGTCGATGGTTTAAAACCTAATGTTTACACGTATACTATAATGATTAATGGATTGTGTAAAGAGGGATTGCCGGATGAAGCACACAAGGTGTTTAGGAGCATGGGAGATAATGGTTGTTTGCCTGATAGAATCTGTTATAATGTAATGATCCAGGGGTTATTCCGAAACAGCTCTACCTCAAAGGCAACCCAACTCCTTGAGGAAATGGTCGGCAAGGTCTTTTCTGCGGATTTATGCACTGCCACCTGGTACGTGGATCTACTCTTACAATCTAATAAATCGATCTTGATTTAGAAAATGTTGGGTTGTTAGTGTAACGATCATTAGTTGTCAATGTGAATGAACTGGGTTCATTAGTGTGGCAAATTAATTGTTTTTCTCTAGAGCTATGTTGATGTGTTTTTATAAACATTAAGGTCTATTTTGATGTCATAATAATCTTTTACAATGTGACCTACTAAATCTTTCAATTTGGTCCACTTGGAAAGTTCAACTAAACCCAAATAGTTTACAAACAAACATGAAATGAACATTGGAATTGAACATTACACGATCAATTAAAGAGTAATTGTTGGTGCCCTTCATGTTTGATGGTATAAGGAACTAAGGCACACCTTAGGCAAAACTTATTGCCTCGAATACCAATATAAAACAAACCACTGCAACTGCGATCACACAAGCTACACCATTCCCAATTATGGGCGTCAAGGGTGATGGCGGGTAGTTAAAACAAGTGATGTTTGATTTTGGGTAATTCAAGACAGGTTTTGTGGAGGAAGAAATCGCATTTGGAGCTTGTTTTCTAACACCAAATCGTGCTCATGGTTTAAATGACGTACCACCGTAGCTTCGCCGCACTCATTCGCCTTGATAACACGGATGCTGGAAGAAGAATCTGAGTAGCATCATCCCTATCTCCATTTTCTTGATTAGTTATGGTGTATAAGGAATCATCCTCCAACACGCATTTCAAGTGAACCACAAAATTGCAATCTTCATTCGCCTTCACTTACTCGAAACAAACTTGGCAATCTCTAGCTTCTCCCTTTTCAAGGAAATACTCGTGGAGAAGAATACGATCATGTCGACCGTCTTTGATCTTCCGCGGTAAAGAAGTGCAACTTTTATGGACTTGGAGGTGGCATGTAGGACATATATAGGAAACAAACTTACCAAAATGTTTTAAAACGACTCTCGGATCCTAAAAAATATATTTTGGTAAATGCAAACAAGCTTTTGTCTTTTAAATGATTTGATTTCTTAAATTGTTTTAAAAGACGTTTTTAGGTAGTCGGCTTACCTAACCTAAATGTCGATGACGACTCCTAATCAATTTAATCAAAATAATTCAAAATTCCCAAAATTTTCAAATGAAGTCATAATTATTTTCTTAAAAAAATGGTTATCACATATGGATAGATAAATTAATAATCAATTTATATTGTTATAACTCTTCAATTTTCTTGAGGTACTCGTATCTGGCAAGTCTAATGTATACCTAGACATGGAAATCGGATAAAACATTCCAAGTCATGGGAAAAACTTTAAAAAACACCTATTTCAAATACTGTTTTCCTAAATCCCCCATACAAATAACACCCTACATCTTGTTCTGCAGAGAGGAAGTGATGTCCCACATTCACCTTTCATGTATGCCTACCTAATTGTGGAGGTTGAAGGAGCAAAGTTATTTGTAGATGATTCTGAAGTCACCCCAGAAGTGATGGATCATTTGAAGAATGCAGATGTAGAATTAAGGCCGTATGACTCGATTCTTTCTGAGATAAAGAGGTATGTTTTAGGTTCCTCTTATCATTATTATTATTTTGATCTAACATAAAATGCAAAAGCAGCCTGCAAAGACATTTATCTTTGTCCAAGACTGCCAAAAATTTCAATTAGATATAGTCTTGGGCGATTTCACCAGATGTGCCAAGGCATATTTACTTTAGAAATAATCGCAGCTTCTTTTTTCAGACTTGCAGCTCTAGGTGCTCATCTGTGGCTAGATACATCATCCGTCAACGCTGCTATTGTGGAGACATACAAGTCTTCTTTGGATAAATACCGTATGAATCATCGGGGTCACATTGCACTTGACCAGGCAGTATTCCCCGAAAACACTCCAGGTTTCGTGTTGGATGCATTTGCTCGCTCTTCCCTCTGGAAGATCGGCCTTGATTACCGCCATGGTATTTCTCACATCTTTCTGTTAGACTTCTTACACTATTAAAAGTTAAAACCGTGGCCAATTAATTGATTATGACTTTGATTATCTTGCTCCTTTTATATAGGCACAGGGCACGGTGTTGGAGCTGCATTGAATGTCCATGAAGGTCCACAAAGTATTAGCTATAGAGATGGAAATACCACTCCCCTACTTAAAGGCATGATTGTTAGCAACGAACCTGGTTGTTACGAAGATCATGCCTTCGGCATTCGAATCGAGGTACAAAGTAATCCAGCCATATTTCTTTGTTGTTAAACTTCATATTGAGCTACGAATAGTTTTTATTACTAACTTGGGATCTTATCATCTTGCAGAATCTCCCTTGTGTGCAAGAGATTAACACACCCGATTTCCTTGTATCATATTTCATGCTGTCTCAATCTTCCCTTGTACATTACATCTGTGTTGCTTCAAGCTTCCGACTTCATTTTTCTTCAAGTACCCGTGGGATATGCAATGCGTATCTAAACGTATAGATTGGTTCGAATAATTGTGGAATTTGGTTTGGCTTCGATTTTGCATTACGAGTTCAGTTTCGGCAAGACTCCTCGGTCAGCTGTTAAGGCTATTCTGTTTCGAGTTCTGAGAGACGATTACTGGCTTACGGTTCGTTTCAGGTTTCGCCATTGTTGGAAGGTTGGGCTCCGCAATGGCTCTGGAACAACACCCGAGCAATTCACACACGGTGATTCCAACCCGGCAAGTTCCCATTTGTTTCCAGAAAGTTTACTTCCAGGATGAATTCTGTTGGTTTTTGTTTGCCTATACTTGAGATATGTTGTTGATTGGTGATTATTTCATGTTGTACAGAGCATCAAATTATCATAATTTTTAGATATATTCTTTATATTTTCTGGTGTAAACTAAGCATTTTATACGTAAACTATTAATTTTGTTTCGTTTTAGTACCTAAACTTTCAGTTTTTTAAAAATTATACCTAACGTCTAGTTTTCATTTCATTTCATTTTATACCCGGTCTTTAAGAGCTTAACGCGTTAAGTACCTAAACTATCAGTTTTTGTCCGTTTTAGTACCCAAACTTCTAATTTTTTAAAACTTAACATTTAATTTTGAATGGGTGTACTAAATTCAAACAAAAACTAAAGTTTTAAATGGCGAGATACTAAAATGAAACAAAAACTAAATTTAAGTATGATTTTCAAAAAAATTGAAAGTTTATGTATTAAAATGGATTAAAACTGATAATTTAAGTATTAAATGTGTAAATTTACCCTATTTTATAACACTCCTAGAATTTTAAAAACTCGTCTCTTTAAAATTTTAGAAATTCGTCATTTTAATGTAAAATCTCGTGGTCGTCCATAACCATAATATACATACAAATGCTGTAATTTATCCAGTTTATAACAATAACGAAAAACGTTGATCAAATGAATATATTAAATTTATTTTAAATTAAAAAATCATATCGAAGAAATATTTTTTAACAACAACGAAAAACGTTGATCAAATGTGCACATTATTTTTTTTAAGTCGGGGCTTTGCGTCTTCTTTTACCTAAAATATAATATAAATAAATATATCGAGCATGCATATATATATATATATATATATAATTAAACAAAATTATAATTCGGGGGATTAATTATGGGCGATTGGATCACATTTATTGATAAATCCAGGCCATCGAATGTGATTAATTAAAATGACTAATGCAGCCCTTAGCTTAATTGTCGAGAAGGATCATTAAAGGTGTAAATTAGACTTTTTGTAATTAAAATATGAATAAATTACGTATTAGTATCTAAACTATTAGTTTTGATCAATTTTAATATTTAAATTTTTATTTTTTAAAATCATTCTAAAGTTTAATTTTTTTGTTTCATTTTAGTACATTTATTCAAAATTTAATGTTAATTTTTTAAAAAAATTAAAAGATTAAGTACTAAAACAGATAAAAACGATAATTTATGTATTAAACACTCAATTTTTTAACAATGTAGTATTAAAATTAAATAAAAACTAAACTTTGAATATGATTTAAAAAATATAAAAATTTAAATATTAAAACAGATTAAAATGAATAATTTTAATATTAAACGCATAGTTTATCATTAAAATATGAAGGATTTTGTTTAAAGGAAAAGTAGATTATGTGATGTTAAATTATGAACCATTAGATCTCCACTACAAAATTCAGAGTGGATCCTAACCATTGGATCAAATACTTAGCGGAGTTACCTAGGGAGCTGAAGAACCGCCCTTTACTCTTTATCCACCACTGTAGTTAATATTTTCATCATAACTTCTTCAATCTCAGCGTAATCTCCATGCAAATTTGGATACAGGAGCGAAGAAAACTCAAGGTATGAGTTAGGTTTTGGAGATTACAAGTTCTAGATATAGAAAGATGAAGGTTAATTGTTAATATTGTCGCATGCCTACTTAAATCGTTCATTACAGAATTCAAAATCTTGATATGTGCGTTATACGTGAAGTTGATTTTGGGTGTATAATGAAATGTGAAGAGAAAATGTTGAGATATATGATCATATTCTGGGTTAATTTGTGGAAAATTGACGTCCTTTGGGACGGGATTGGCGCAAAAATTTATATTAGATGCGAACTTAAGAAGTTATATTAAAAATTTTAAGGGTTACGAAGTTATAAAATTTCAGGGGTGCGGAATTAGATGATCGATAGAAATTACAAAGTAAAAAGAATTTGAAAATTCTAGAGGTTACGATTGCACTCCGGCACCCCTCGGTCCATCCCTGTTTGGGATATTATTTACTGGATCCCATATATCCGGGTTTAATAATGCCAGTGTAATTTACTGAGGGGTATTAAACAAAATTATCAACGAGAATGAATATGTTTGTACTAGATGCGTAATGAGTTTATACTATATGGATATTCATGTTCACTTATGTTGGATTTATTTTCCAAATGCATTAGTAAAATTATGATTTATAAGAAAATGTATTCTTGTCTATTTTCTTATATATATATATATGCTATGTTATTCAAAATATGTTCAAAGTTATCAAAGAGGTTATATCGACGTCATTTGAGCATGGCTTAGCCAAAGGTCTTCCACGGAAGCTGCTCTCAACCTGGCGTTGGGGCAGCCTACTACCCTACCTCTCCCTTACCACATTGCATATGAGAATAGGGTTTTGTTGTTTGTTGTATTTGAGCATGGCTTAGAGTGTAGGTAGCTGATTCGAAGTAAGAGAAGTCGGCTCGGATCAAAGTGATATCAGATTCAGACTTGATTCAGGTGAAGTTCCATAGTTATTCTGTGTTGTACATATATTTTTATGTTGCATCATAGTCGGCATGTACATAAACCCCTAGTAATTGGAATGGGAATAATTAGAATTGTTTACTTATTAGAAATGTTGATTATGAGATTATGGTTATAATTTTTCTTTTGAAAGTTGATAAAAATAATGAATTACTAAAATATAAGGTTAAGGAATTAAATCGATAAGAATGGTGTAGATGCCTTCAGGTGTTGAATATGATGCATTTTTCTTGGGATCACTGACGGTCCGGGTAAGGGGTGTTATATTTGTTGGTACTGTAGTATAAGTTTATAATTTATTTGATTTTAGGTTGAGATTAGAAAGAAGGTTAAGTGGTTGGATGTACATGCCACACGGGTAATAAGTATATGATATGCTACTCTGATGCAGATCTGTTTCGATTATAGACTGAAAATATGTCAACCATCTTTCACAAAGCAACAGATGAAGAGGTTGAGAGCCCTGCACTAGCTGGTGCAAAGGAGGTGGATACCGAAGAGCCATTACCTCGGGCCCCTGTTGGTGTTGCCGAGCCAGGACAGGAGGCACGTATTCAGCCTATGATAGGGTTGATCAGGAGGTTTATAACACAGATAATGCCAGCTCCATCTCTTCTCGAGGTAATCCGTGAGATTGGTGCAGAGGATTTCAAAGGGAGGAACGATGACGATGATCCCTTTACACCGGAGTATTGGTTGGATGATACACACAGGCTTCTACAGGAGTTGAACTGCACCCCAGAAGAAAAATTAGAATGTGCAGTATCTCTACTCAAAGATGAAGCTTACGAGTGGTGGGATGTTGTGACCTATGGAGTGGACCCTTCAGAATTGACCTGGGATTTCTTTCTAGCAGGATTTCGAAAGGAGTACCTTGGGGAAAGATTTCTGGAGGAAAGAAGGACAGAATTTCTGTATCTGGAGCAGAATGATTTGTCTGTAAGAGAGTACGAATATCATTTCGTACGACTCAGTCGTCACGTGAAAGAATTGGTGCCTACTGAAGCCGATATGTGTACCAAATTTGAACGTGGCCTTACATTCGAGATTAGACGTTACTTAGCAGCCGCGAGGATTCGGGAATTCTCTACTCTTGTTGATAGAGCTATTGCAGTGGAAGATGTTATTATTGAGAAGCAGAGGAGTAAAGATAAAACCCAGATGAAAAGAGGTCGAGGGCAAGTTAGTTTTGTACCATTCCCATCTGCTAAAAGAGCTAGGGATTCTCAGGGTCCAAAATATTCTACACCAACACATAACCAGAGGCATGAACAAAGGCAGAATTCGGGTTCGACATCTAGACTCGTGATGTCTCGGGCGACAGGCAGCATCGGTGGCCAATGCAAGAGGATCGTTGAGGCAAGAGACACTTTGGAGAGTGTTAGAGTCTCACGGGAGCATGTTACAGACTCCAAATATCATTTCATTAGAGATTGTCCCCAGATGACAACTACTGCAGAGACGGAGAGATCTACCCCCAAAGCTCAAAAAGGCAGGAGGAACGGTGATGCAAGGAACAGCCAGAAAGCTGTGACGGAGACTCTGGCAAGACCCGACTCCCGATCACCAGCAAGTGCTACTGAGGCACGGCCAGGTCTTATTGTTGGTACATTCTCACTATTCAATTTCGTTGTGCATGGATTAATAGTCGGTGGATCGAGACATTCCTTCATCAGCACTTCTCTTATAGAAAGGGAAGGCTTATCACGAGAGCTTACGAACCACAATGCCTCATTGACTGATATACTCGGCAATAGTTTGACGGTAAACAAAATCTGGAGAGGCTGTCCCTTGGAAGTGCAAGGTCTTGTGTTCCCAGCAAATCTCATGGAACACCCGTTCCTCGTCGATTTCGATCTAATACTCGGGATGGATTGGTTGTCATTGAGTCATGCTGTAATAGATTGTGGTTTAGGAAGAATTATTATCCGAGGTCCTGATAACGAAGAAGTGACGTTTGGAGGGTGGTCCTGTCCTCCCTCGAATGCTTACCTCGGCTCTCTATTTGGTAAGAGAGCTCTCTGATAGGTGAGAGATCTATGAGAAAGAAGGGGGTTACACTATCGTGCTGTAAATCTCTATTTAGTGAAGAAACTGTGTAGGTGGAAAACGCTACGTATCTATGGTATGTAAAATGAATGGCTTTATTGTGTTTAAATGTTGAATCAGTTTACTTGTTGCTGTTCTTACGTCACTTAACAGTCGAATTTTATATCTTATCAAATTAAGAAAATGTTATGTTTGTTTATAAAATGTTATTTTTTATATTATTTTTGGTTCAACCGAAAATATTATGAAAAAAAGTAAAATTTTCAGTTGGAATTTATACGATGAAGGTTTGCATAAAAAAGTAAGAAAAAATTAACATTTTAGGTTACATGTAACCTAAAATGTTATGCTTATTTATAATATTTTAGGTTGTACTTTTCTTAGTCTTATATTAAGTTGTACGTATAAGTTACATGTTTAGTATAAACTATCAGTATTTATATATTTTAGTACTTAAACTTTTAATTTTTTTGAAATCACACTTTTTTTTGGATTAGTCGATTTTGTTAATAGATTATCCAAAGGAAATCAGCCTAGCTGCTACAACATACAACCTCAACCAATCAACAAAACACCAAATCCGAGCTGCAACAAGCAGAAGAAAACAAGACACCAAAATGCAGCTAAGTATCCGTGGAAATCATACTTGAAGTTTAGTTTTGGTTTCGTTTTAGTATTCATTGTTAAAAACTTTTAGTTTTTGTTTCATATTGGTAACATGTTTAAAATTTACGTTAAGTTTTGTAAAAAAGTAAAATTAAAATACTAAAACAAATCAAAACTGATAATTTAAGTACTAACGCGTTAAGTTTTAATAGTGGATACTAAAATGAATGAAGACTAAACGTCATGTATTGTTTAAAAAAAATAATTAAAAGTTTAAGTGCTAAAATACTAAAAGTTTACCATGTATTTTTTTTTTGAATAGTTTGTTCAGTACTTTTTTTTAAAGGTAATATATTTTAAAAAATCACAATTGATACGCAACCAAAAACAAAGAATGTATACACTTTCTTGGAGGATGTTTAGCCTAGAAATCACACAAGATAGAATGGAACACAGTGTGTACAGAAAGTACAGAAAGTTCACTTTTGGTTGAAGGTCGAGTTAGAGCCTTCATTCCCTCTCGGATGAAGGTCGTAAAGGCAAAAACGACGACTTCCGGTAACTACTTTGCATACCTTTTAACTTGAGTGGACTCCATACCAACGATTTCCGTCACAAAGCAACGACGGTCGGGTGCCTCGGCTTCCATGAACCTCCCTGCACGGCGGGAGGGCTCCCCATGAATTTGCTGCTACCACTTCTCATGGCTGCAGGTGATGTCCCTGATGGCTTCCTAAACTCTGGCAATGGGGAGAAAAATCTCGAGTGTCTTGCCTTCCTGGCATCCCGAGCTAACGACAGTCTGTCCATTGTACCGTTGTTGAAACCGGAAGCAGACCTGTGGAGTGGTGTGGTCATGTGCGAATCGGGACGGATGGTAGCGGTGGATACTCGCCTTTTAGGCTGAAGGACTCGAGCATTGGCTGCTGGAGGTTCGACAGCAATAGAAGAACGTCTCGGTTTCAAAAGGTTTTCTCTGTTTGTTGCCGATGCCATCACGGTTTCGGTGTTGTTTTCTTTGTCGTTCCATGATGCTGCCATCGATATTCTTGAGGTCTTTCTGTTGGTGGTGGCCAAAGGTGTTGCTGGGGGTACGAAGTTGGTGATTCTTCGTAGTGGTAACCTCACTTTTGATGGACCGAGTGGCGGCTTTTTATCCGTTTTAGTATTCTCCAGTGCTTGTTTAAGAGGTGGTCTGGTAGAAGCAGAAGCAGCAAAAGCTCTGGTTTCCCGCTTTAATCGAGCTTTCCGTTCCTCGGCTAGCTGATTTTCCAGGTCAAGAACCTGACATCAAATACCAAGCAATGAAAAATGATACAAAACACCGGGAAGAACAAAGCATCCGAATCTTAAGAAGGCAATATTACAAATTTCATCAATTTGTAGGATTTGAGACTATGATAATAATGAGTAACAGGATGGTAGGGACTATATCAATGACGGTGATCGTGGTTGGAAAGGATGGCGACTACTGATTAAGGTTAGGATTTTGGATTTTTGGACAATTTTATAATATAAGAAAAGTTAGAGTATTTTTATAAATATCATAATATTTTTATTTTTTAAATTTTTTTTTTGAAATCACTATATTATGCCACGTGTCACTTAACAGAAAAAATTAACGTCGTTGACGGCCCGGATACATAAATGAGTAACGTTTGTAACGTTAGGCACTTGAATGAGTCAAAAATAATTTAGGCACTTGATTTCTGTTCAAGGTATTTTTTTATTACTCTAGGGTGCTTACAAGTGATAGTATACGTTTAAATATTCAAGGTATTTTTTTATTACTCTAGGGTGCTTACAAGTGATAGTATACGTTTAAATATTCTGTAATTATTGCTGCTCGAATCTGAAATTTCTATAATAACTAATTAATTCTTTAACTATTGAAATCGTTTGATTCATATTACGTAAATTATTTTTTTAAAAAAGAAGTACTTAAATTATCATTTTTCACAATAGATCTAAAATGCTAATGGTATTTAAAAGAACATCCAACAATATTAGATCGCGGATCTCATTAAGTGGGTTCAGTGATTAAAAATAGGTTTAATATTAAAATAAGTGCCCAAATTATATTGATTTACCCAAATAGGTGCTTAAATTATTTTTTGACTCATTCAGGTGTCTAACGTTACAAACGTTCCTATTAAGTGACACGTGTCACAACTTGATAATTTAAAATTTTTTATTTAAAATTAAAAAAATTAAAATTATATATTTTTAAAAAGAAACATAAAATTTGAAATAAACATAAAACTTTGAAAACCTTCATTTCAACCCCTAAACCCAAGTCAGCCATCGCCTTTTACCGTCGACGAAGCTCCACCCGACCTCCCCTTCCCCTGGCAACCAAAACCCCCATGAAATTGTGACGGATCGACGGTCGATCGTCGATGAATCAACATTTTATACCCCTGCGAACCCTAAGATGAAAATCTTGATCCCACACGATTTCGACGGCTAATCGATGGAAACTACGATGATATATGAGTAGGAGGATGGTAGGAACTATGTCAGTGGCGGTGGTCGTGGCAGGAAAGGGTGGCGACGACTGATCAAGGTTAGGATTTGGGATTTTTGGGCTATTTTATAATATAAGAAAAGTTAAGAGTTTTTTTTATAAATATCATAATATTTTTAATTTTAATTTTTTTTAAATCACTAGATTGTGAACGTGTCACTTAACAGGGAAAATTAACGTCGTTGACGGCCCAGATACATAAATGAGTAACGTTTGTAACGTTAGGCACTTGAATTAGTCAAAAATAATTTAGGCACCTATTTGAGGGAAACGGTATAGTTTAGGTACTTATTTTGGTATTAAGCCTTAAAAATATGATACATTACACTTTTAGTACCTAAACTATCGATTTTGACCCGTTTTAGTACCTAAAATTGTGATTTTTTTTAAAATCATACCTAAACTTTAGTTTTTTGTTTCATTTTAGTAACCCGTTGTTAATAACTTTAGTTTTTGTTTTATTTAGTATCCTCTTTCAAGATGAAAAATGAAACTGTTATTAATTTGGGAAAGACGATTGGCAAGGTCCTAGTGCTCGATGTAAGGAGGCAGAATGGCAATCTTGGCAATTTTGCCAAGATGTTTGCGACTGTCGAATCCTCAATGAGGTAAACCCCGAGTTTTTCCATTAAAGTTTGAACGCTTACCTCAATTTTGTTTCAATTGTGGTGTGATAGGACACCTAGTCGACAAGTGTCAAACGAAAATTGGAGTGAATGATGGATTAAATTATGGTGATTGGATTAGAGTTACACCTCAACAACCTAGAGTACGATCCCGACCACAGCAGTTCATTTATCTGGAGGCTGCGGCTTCTCAGTCAAAGATTGACGACGACGGTAAGTCTGAGTGGGGATGGGGTACATCCTCCAAAGAACCGTAGGAAGATTTTAAGAATCAAACAATGAACCCAGAAGAGGCAGACAGTAGCAAACTTTCAAACGAAGAGTCACATGAGGTCCTTACTGAAGATGATCTCGGGGAGGATATAGAGACTGCATCAGAGGAGCCATGTGCTGACAGGGAACCAAGGAGGTCATTAAGTTGGATGTTGTCAGGATCGGACATTAATTCCTTTATGCATGGTATAAACTGTAAAGACTACTACTAGTTGATTCAAATCCGAAAGCATTGATGAAATGATGGTTCAAACAGCAAAGACAAACTGATGCAAATTCAGGAAGAAACAACACAGGAACTACAACAAACTAATGTACAGAGGTGAAGAAAAACAGCTATAACATAGGTTGTCTTCTGTATGTTCTGCTGTTTCGGCTAACTACAACTCGGCTAACCCGAAAATCAAGTATACATAAAACGGGAGTGAATGGAAATAGCTATAACGTCAATATCGTCTCTTCGTGTTTGTCATTCGGAGAGCGCCTTATTACAACTAGAAAATGCGAATGTAAATCAGGAAGAATGACCGAAGGAAATTTGGACACCGTTACCACCAATCCCGGCCGTGAAACACTGGAAACCGAACGATTCGAGCTCTTCCACTAGTTTATCGACAACCGCTCCTGATACATCTGATTCATGTTGTCAAGGGAACACAAGTGATGGAATTGGAGATTCAAGAAGAAAATAGTAAGTCAGCAAAGAATAGATCATACTGTAAACAAAAACATGAGCAAACCATGATTTATACGAATCAAAGTCGAAAAACTGAAGAGTGGTATCTTATCGAAGTTTATCTTATTCCGATGAGCCTCTGCCCCTATCGGCAGAAAAATGCCAAGGGCAAGCATTGAATTGCAAACAGATTCAATCTTATTGAACCCATCTAGGCCTTTCATCGGAAGTAAAGTTGACTGAATATCGAAACGACAAGAAAATTAATTGGCAGAGGCATAGGTATTCAAATTAACGAGAACACTAAAAAGGATACGGCTTGGTAAGAGTGTTAGCACGCAGCCTCCACCTCCGGCTCCAGTCAGCTTGGAAGCTAGCTTATACTCCATTGCTGTCTGAAGAATAGTTTCTATAGATGCATGGCTAACACCAATAGAGAAAAGCAAACCCTGATTCATTTCCATCAATTCTGCAAGCTTCTCTTCATTAGCGGATAAACATAGATCATCCACGGCATGCGACTGGATGATGGTAGACCATTCATCACTAATAGCTTCGATTGCGTTTAACACGGAAGACATGGCACCGGGATGCCTCAATTTCCTTGCCGAAACATTTGCAACCAATGCCTTTGTATCCCTCCCGACTTTTGTGTTGGTAATGAGCATTCTCAGTGGCATATTGGAATCGATACGGGTCATAACACCGGTTTTGAATTTAATGACATTGCCTGTTCCATTAAAACAATAAGTTACTTAAACACATAGATATTGATAAATATATTATGAATTTACGAGATAAACAATAACCTTCATCGAGACGGTTTGGGATAATGATGCAATGATAGAGGGGCAACAAATTAATTGATAAAATAATTTGAAGGAAAAAAAGCATAAGTATTAATGAATCAATTTGAACAAGCTGCATACCAAATGTGCTAACCGAATTGTCAACTCCGGAGGGCCTTCCGTGAATTATCTTCTCCCCTTCGAAAGCCCACTTATTCACCAATTCAGCCTTTGCCTTAAACGTGAACCATCCTTTTTGGCTTACGTCCATTTTCACGGAATCTGAAAGAGCTAAGAGAGCTGCTGAAAGTGCAACACAATATGCAGCCGATGAACCCAGGCCCGCACCCACTGGAAGCTCGGAAGAAACAATGACTGTAGCTGGCTTAAACCTGGCTCGTTGCATCAATGCGTCAGAAACTAGATAATTGAGAAGATAATTATAGTTAAAAAGACTAACATGAGGCGGTATACATACCCTAAGATAGAGGTGTACAACCAAAGAAATGCATAAACCCCAGAAGCAAGTCCGATCTTCGACTCAGGGAAACTTTTCTCATCAACGAGAGCAGCGAGAGATTTAACGGTCTCCAGTGAGCATGATGTGGGGGTTGAAGAAAATGGAGAACCTAAGTGAGATAGCACTTCTTTGATTCTTGCGATTGACCATGAAAAGTCTAACCCGGTGTCATTGAGAAGTTTTATCGTACCTTCACCCTCTATGGAAAGATCAAACACAATGACATGAAAAAAAAAAGCTACAAATATTAAATTGCAAAATAAAGCTATGAATCTTACCAAAGTGCCAAAGATAGTGCAAATAAGAAACCAAAACGGATCGGTTGACCAAGAAATAACTTGATAGGATCAAATTTCAACTTATACTCACTAATTTCACATAAACTATAGTGAGCTCAATCTCGGAAACTTTGCGGCCACACACAGAGTTTGCTAAAAAGAAAGTGCTGATAAACACATATGAAGAAACATTTAAACAAATCAAACATATCTTCACACCACTGTCTTCCAAAACACATGACCAAATCCAATTTATTTGATCCTCATTAAAACCAAATTATAATAAGCTCGATATCCTAAACTTTGTTCCTACATAGTTTGTTTGCTCAAGCACCAGCAAACACATCCAAAGAAATATCTGCAGAAATCTAACATATCTTTGCATGACTTTCTCTGAAAACAAACCATCAAATCCAATTTATAGGATCCTAATTAAACTCAAACTACAATCAGCACAACCTCAGAAACTTTTTTCCAAATACGCAAATACTTGGCTCTCTCAGAAGATGAACGGCCAATCACACAAAAATCTCCCGAAACAAACCATCAAATCTGATTTATTGAATCCTCATTAGAAGTAAAATATAGTGAGCTAAATCTCAAAAATCTTGTTCCTACATAATTAGATTGCTCAAAAGATGCACAGCAACATCTACGAAAAAATCAATCTCCCTAGACAAACCATCAAATCCGATTTATCAGATCCTTATTAAAAGCAAACCATAATCAGCTCGACCTCAAAAACTTTGTTCCAACATAATTTGCCCAAGATATAAGAACTAACAAATAAATAAAAAATCAACAAAGGCAAAGTTTAGTGATAACTTCCAAAATTTACAGAAATTTCACATAATCTCAAGAGAGGATCTTTCAACCAGCATTTAACAGAATAAAAAAATATGGTAACATTAAATTCCAACATAGAAATCACCAAAAACAAAATAATAATTGAGCGAGAAATTCATTCAAAACAATCTTGTAAAACTAGAATAAAACTCCATATAGGCTCAAAAAAAATCAGCAAATCAACATTTTTACAGAATATAAAAACAACCCAACTCCAAAATAAACTTCATTTCACCAAATCAACCCAAGAATCATCATTTTTTATTAAAAAATAGTTAATTACAAAACAATTAAATGAATAAAAGCAATAGAAAGAGTGAGCTACCAGAACGAAGACGGAGAGAGACAGAAGTATAGAGATCAATGGAAGAAGCAACGGCAGTACACCCATGAACCACAGCATGTTCACCTGCGAGAATGATCTTCCCCGGAGCTCTGGCAGTTACCTCCATTTTTCTCTCAGATTTTCCTTTATCAAAAATGTTGAATTTGAGCTTTTTGGTTGATCAGTGATTGGAGAGGGAACAAGGGAGTTCTTCGCCGCCGCGAGATCTTAATGGGGTGCCGTCAAAGTAACGCCGCCGTCAGAGGGGGCCGGAGAAGACGGAGATTTTATTTGGTGTGGCGGAGAAAACTTAGATGGAAATGGTACTTACGCGCCATTTAAACCAACCTATATTCCTTTTCTTGTTCTGTTGTTTATTTTATTTTATTATTTTTTATGACTTTCGATTATGACATGCCCACGCGACTTGCTGGCGCGTGAATTCTAAACTATAAAATATTTGGGACATTTTGCTCTTTTGTTAATAAATAATTATTTTTTAATACAGGAGATAAAAGAGAGAAAATTTTGATCTTTTAAAAAAAAATAGAGTAAATTACGTGTTTAGTATTTAAACTGTCAGTTTTGGTATATTTTAATATCTAAACTTTCAATTTTCAAAACTATACTTAAGTTTAGTTTTTGTTTCATTTTAATATCTGCCACTATAAATTTTGGTTATTATTTCATTTTATTCAAAATTTAACGTCAAATTTTGAAAAATTTAAAAATTTAGGTACTACAACATACCAAAAATGATATTTAGGTACTAAACGTGTTAAGTTTTTAACGATGAGATTCTGAAATGATATAAAAACTAAACACTAAGTATGTTTTGAAAAAATTCAAAGCTTATATACTAAAACAAACTAAAACTGATAGTTTACGTACTAAATATGTAGTTTACCCAAAAATTTTAAAAATATACTTGGGTTTTATAAAAATATTTAAACTAATTCACTCAAATTTAATTAGTTTCCACTTGATCTTATCTAATTGGATCATTTGAAAGAATAAGTTTGGGTTGATTTTTCAAAACATTGACTTAAATTTAGTTTAAGTTGAAAACTCTAACTTAGCCCAAAAAAATATTATCAATTAGTTTACAATAAGCGTTTATTCATCTATGTTGTAATTGTTGGTGTTTGATCGTGATACTTTTAAAAATAATAACTATTTATTTAATTACTGAGATAATTTAATTTATACAAATAAGATAAAATCAAATACAAATAAAAAAACCCAAATTTCAGATAAGAAGGTCAAAAACTCAACCCAAAACAAACTTAATTTATCAAAGTATTTGTAATGCACGCGCTTGAAAGGCCGTGGGGAGTTGAAGAAAAATAGTATGAAAGAAAATAAAAACACTTATTAAACAATAGCAGTCTTTTAGTAAAAAAAAAGGCTGAGATTATTATACCACTGAAGTTAGTCCAAAGTGGAAGTCCAAATTTTGAAAATGCTCATGGAGGCTACCAACTATTTATTTATTTATTTATTTATTTTTCAACATATTATCTCACATGATTCAAATTAGTCAGTAAAAATATATTTAATTATTGATATATATATATATATATAGAGATAGACGTAGATGAGACGAGACAGATCGTGAGCTACTCGAGATCGACTCGAGTTCTTAACAAGCCGAAACGAACTACTTGATATTCGACTCGAAAAGCTCGTGAGCAGCTCAAAAATATAATATATTAAGATTTTATTTTAAAAAATATATTATTAACAATATTAACATTTATGTATTGACTTTTTTTAAAATACAGTAAGATTTTCATGTATTTAAGGTTCAGGTTTCGAATTTGAGGTTGAGGCTTCAACCGAGTTAAGTTTAAGATTTTTTTTTCATTTCGAGCCTTTTCGAGCTTCAGTTTAGGATTTCGAGTTCGCGTCGAGCTTAAAAATTTTAAGTTTTTGAGTTTTCGAGTCGATTCGAGCTCTATTTCAGAGTTTTCGAGTTGAGTTCAGTAATACTCAAACTTTACTTGGCTCGTTTATACCCCTATATATATATAGTAAGACTTGACCTAATCTGACCCAATCTTTGAGGGTAAACTCGTATTTGATCCAACCCGATTAAATAGATATAAGGAGTTTACATTTTTATTTGAAAAATAGGGAATCAAATAAGAAAATGCAGAGAATGATAGGTGAATTATAATATTATCTCGAATTAAATTAGATTAATAATTTTTTTATCTTAAACTCGAACGCAGTCTTGATCTCATTTCTAATGCATCATAAAATCCAACATAATCCCAATTTATTTATTTAATTAATTACATAAAATTAAATTAAATCAAAATTTAGATAAAATAGTAACATTTTTAATTAACACATGATAATATTTACATATTTCAGAAAATAGATATCTTTGGAAAAAGGTCGGTCAAAGAATTGATTTGGATATGATCTTTTATTTTGACAACTACCGATATTAAAAAAAATCATTATATATATATATATTTGTGTATTTACTTATGAGTCTTATTTTTATCATTAATCAAAATTAAATTAATGATTAAATTTTAATAAGTTTAAGGATTACTTTTCACTGATTTAGTATATTTAACTTATCATTTTAGTCCCTATCATATTTTTCACATCTGTTTAGTCCCTGAAGTTGCTTAATCATCATAAACCCTAAATTAAAATCTTAAGTTCCAACTCATAAACACCAAACCTAACCCCTAAACTTTAAACTCAACTAAAACCCCAAACAATAATAAATACTTTAAACATTGGTGCAATTAAACAACTTTGAGTATGTTAGGATTTTCGGAAGCCCGAAACGACAACCGGAACGATTTGCAAAGAGGGGTCGGAACGGTTTTGTGTTTAGGGAGTAAGGAGATTGAAAGATAGAGAATTGCACAGCGATTTATAGTGGTTCGACTTTCTCAATCAAAGTCTACGTCCACTACCTTAGCTCCTCACCAAGGATTTTCCAACAAATTCACTAATTTGTTCTTTCTTTTGAGGACAAAGAGATAACCTTACAACTCCCTAGTTTTTCCGGGCTAAACTAGAACCTTTCCCTAGCTTTTACACGGGCTAAGCTATAACCTTTCCCCTTTACAAAAGGATAAAAGATGTAAACAATAAAACCTCTCTAAGGTAGGTGTTTACAAGAATTAAGCTCACAAGAACAAAATATTTACAAGAGAAAGATGAAATAATAATGAAAAACTCTTCTCTTGTGTTTGATTACTTGGATAGTTGTTCTCTTACTTCTTCAAGTGTCCTCAGCTTGTATTTATAGATTGGAATGAGTTTGAAGTCGTATATAGCCGTTGGGGATGTTTTGGAGCCGTTTGGGAATGATTTTTCTACTCAAAAAGGTTGCCCAGAATGGGGGGAATCGGTACCCCTTCATAGGGAATCGATACCCCTTCATAATATTCAAATATTATGACCGTTGGGCTGTTGAACAGGGGGGGAATCGGTACCCCCTGGGGGGGAATCGGTACCCCCTGGACATTCTGTTTTTGAGCTTTAGACAGGGGGGAATCGGTACCCCCTGGGGGGGGTATCTGTACCCGGGGTATCTGTACCCCCTGGGGGGGAATCTGTACCCCCTGGGCAATCTTGAAACCCCTTAAAATATTTTTGGCTCAAATCAGAATTTTAATTGACTTTGAATTATTTTTGAAACCTTTTAAAAACTTTGAATAAATTCAATTAAGTCCAAAAACATATTGTAAATTTAATTCAAGTCCAAAAACCATTTTGTCTTAAATTGTTATATCAAAACATAGTTCAACAATCTCCCCCTTTTTTGATATAACAAAACATTTGAAAAATTGTTTTTGACAAAACTCCCCCTTAATAAAATGTTTAATGAAAAAGATACTAATTGTTGGAAAACATATGAAAATGTTAAGCTCCCCCTTTTTCATTAAGAAATTGAATTTTTCAAAAACTTCTCCCCCTTTTTGTTATATAAAAAATAATTCGATCTTTGAAGTTTAAAATAACTTTGGAGAGTAATTAGTAAATTTTACATTTAAAATCATTTGAAAAATCAAAAGCTCCCCCTTAATAAATGCATTCCAATCAAAATTTAGCTTTTAAGAACTTGACACTTAAACAAAATTGAATTTCAACAAAGAATAACAAACAAGTTAGTAGCACATGAAATTCAATTTATCCAAGACTAAAATACTTTATGCAATACCAATTGTTGAAATTTGATATAAATACCAATTGTTAAAATTAAGTGCATTTGCATAAAGTTTTCCAAAAATGTTATGCATTTAAAAAAAAATTGATATCAATTGTTAAAGAGATATCATTTTCATTTAAACCACATGCATAATCATTTAAATTTAGGTCAAAAATTAAAATTTATAAAATCAAAGCATTTTAAAATTTGATATCAATTGTTAGAGAGATATCACTTGCATTAAAACCAATTTTGACCAAAATTCATTATGATGAACTAAAAATTATGAAAAATCATTAAAACTTTAAAATGTTCATCATAAAACCTTCTTAACATACATGAGATTAAAACAAACCAAAATCATTCAATATCAAAACTCATGCATGCTTAAAATCAAATGAGCAACCAAATAATCAAAATCAAAAACATTAAGCTTAGAGGTTACCCATTCCTTTTCAAGTGTGGCTAGAGCATCTTGAATATCATCATTTTCATCACCATTGCTCCAACACACCTACAAGAGACATTTATTTCGATTTTGGTATCCAAATTGCTTTGGATCCTTGAATGTTAGTTTTAATGCCCCTTGTTCCTTTCGGAATCCATACTTGTCTAATTTTAAAACGTTTTCCTTTCTTCAAAGGATAAGTATGTTCCAAATGACCATGAAAATGGCAATGTGAGCATTTTGCCATTTTTACACATAATAGGTTATTTTTAGAAATTAATTCTTTTTCTTTTGTTAAGCCTTCAAGCTTAACTTCTAACTCAAAATTTTTCTTTTCTAAATCATTTATTTTGATTTTTGAAAGCTCTAAATCATTTTTCAAAATTTCATTTTGATTTTCAAAATCAACTTTTACTTTCAAAATCAAATTATCTTTAATTTTGAGTTTTGAAATTAATTTCGTATATTTGGAATTCATGGTCTCAAATCCCAAATACAACCTATTATAAGCATCTTGTAACTCATCAAAAGTAAATGAATTAAATTCATTTGAGTTAGAAGATACCTCAACTTCTTCATGAGTGGCCATGAGGCATAGGTTGACTACTTCATCTTCATCATTGGAACCATCTTCATCACTCCAAGATGCAACAAATATCTTCTTCCCCTTTTTCTTTAGAAGAGGGCATTCATACATGACATGCCCCTTTCTTTGACAATCGAAACATACCGGGGGACTCTTCTTCTTGGTTGATTCATGTTTCACTTCCTTGGAAATCATGAATCTCTTGAGTTCCTTCAAGAGCTTGACCATTTCTTCTTTTTGTTCATCATCGTCTTCATCAACCTCATCACTTGAATCTTGATAGCTTTCATTGATGCCTACGTCCTCATTCTTCTTCTTCTTCTTCTTGTTTTTCTTCTCTTCCCTTTCTTCATCTTCCTTCACCATCATCTCATGAGTGAGAAGGGAACCAATTAGCTCGTCGAGAGTGAGAGACTTTAGGTTTCTTGCTTCGATAATGGCCGTCTTCTTTGATTGCCACTCCTTTGGAAGAGAGTAGATCATCTTCCTCACAAGCTTCTCATTTGGGATTACTTCTCCATATCCCTTGAGACCGTTGACAATCACGGAAAATCTATCCGTCATAGCTTTGATGTCTTCATCGGGTTTCATCTTGAAGTTCTCGTAGCTATGGTTGAGAAGACTTTCTTTGATTCCCTCACTTCGTCGGTTCCTTCATGAGTGACTTGGAGCTTATCCCAAATCTCTTTGGCACTGGAACAAGATGAGACTCTTCCATATTCATTTGGGCCTAAAGCACAAAATAGAATATGTATAGCCTTAGAATTAAGCTGAAAATTTTTCTGCTCTTCTCTACTCCAATTGTTGTACTTGCCGGGTGGAAAGGAGTAACCGTCCATGATTGAGTACCAAGCTCCTAGATTGTATGATTGAATGAAGTACATCATCTTATTCTTCCAATGTGCATAATTTGCTCCATTGAAGAAGGGTGGCTTGTTGACCGGTTGTGAATCCATAATAGGATATTCTTCAAGATAATAAGCACCGGAAGAAAAAGTCATTTCTTTGTCGGTTGCGTCGGGAATTGGTAGAGCTTCTTCTAGGATCGTCTCAAGGTGGTTAAACCTTCTTAACAAGTTAGGCTCTGATGCCAATTGTTAGGATTTTCGGAAGCTCGAAACGACAACCGGAACGATTTGCAAAGAGGGGTCGGAACGGTTTTGTGTTTAGGGAGTAAGGAGATTGAAAGATAGAGAATTGCACAGCGATTTATAGTGGTTCGACTTTCTCAATCAAAGTCTACGTCCACTACCTTAGCTCCTCACCAAGGATTTTCCAACAAATTCACTAATTTGTTCTTTCTTTTGAGGACAAAGAGATAACCTTACAACTCCCTAGTTTTTCCGGGCTAAACTAGAACATTTCCCTAGCTTTTACACGGGCTAAGCTATAACCTTTCCCCTTTACAAAAGGATAAAAGATGTAAACAATAAAACCTCTCTAAGGTAGGTGTTTACAAGAATTAAGCTCACAAGAACAAAATATTTACAAGAGAAAGATGAAATAATAATGAAAAACTCTTCTCTTGTGTTTGATTACTTGGATAGTTGTTCTCTTACTTCTTCAAGTGTCCTCAGCTTGTATTTATAGATTGGAATGAGTTTGAAGTCGTATATAGCCGTTGGGGATGTTTTGGAGCCGTTTGGGAATGATTTTTCTACTCAAAAAGGTTGCCCAGAATGGGGGGAATCGGTACCCCTTCATAGGGAATCGATACCCCTTCATAATATTCAAATATTATGACCGTTGGGCTGTTGAACAGGGGGGGAATCGGTACCCCCTGGGGGGGAATCGGTACCCCCTGGACATTCTGTTTTTTGAGCTTTAGACAGGGGGGAATCGGTACCCCCTGGGGGGGGTATCTGTACCCGGGGTATCTGTACCCCCTGGGGGGGAATCTGTACCCCCTGGGCAATCTTGAAACCCCTTAAAATATTTTTGGCTCAAATCAGAATTTTAATTGACTTTGAATTATTTTTGAAACCTTTTAAAAACTTTGAATAAATTCAATTAAGTCCAAAAACATATTGTAAATTTAATTCAAGTCCAAAAACCATTTTGTCTTAAATTGTTATATCAAAACATAGTTCAACAGAGTATTAAATTGATGTCAAAATACCATAGGGATAAAAAAAATAATAAATTGAGTATATTACAGGGACAAAAAGTAACACTTAAGCCAATTTAACATTTTTTATACATGTGATATTTGTGCAGAAAAAATAAAGATTAAAGTGATTAATTAGTCATCGTTCTTTACCTTAAAATAAAATGTTGAGATTAAAACGGTTCATAAAAATATGAGCTAAAAAATCATTTAATTAAAAATTAGGGGTTTTTTTAATATTATTTCGTCATATAAATTATTTTATTATAGTGCCGTAATAAAATTTTATTAGAAAATGATTAAACTATCCAAACCTCGTAATCCCTTAAATTAAATAATATATAATCATTTCAATAGATCAATAGATGAGATATCAGACTAGTACTCGATAATCTCTTAATCCCTTGAATGGAGTAAACTGTATTAGGAAGGTCTCTCTTGTCTTTGTAGTACTCGATCTGAATTAGTCGATCAATATATCAGATATCAATGGTTATATTAAAAAAAATATATTATAAGTTTAAGTTTTCTTGAGTATACAACCAATTCAAATATATAGATAGAGATGGGTATGAGATCTAAACCGACCTGACCATGTCGAATTTTTTTAATTTTGGGGTTGGGTTGGGTCGGATTCGAGTTTAGGGTAAAAATACTTGACCAGATTCGACCCGAAAAAATATAATTTTATATTATACATTTAGGGATAATTATAATAATACCCTTCTATATATTGTTTTGTTCAATTAAATCATTATTTTATTGAATAAAAATAATATTTTTATTATTATTTTGGGTTAGTCGGATTGGGTTCGAATTTTATCTCTAAAAAATTGGGTCGATAGATGGTATATATTTTTCGGGTTGGGTGAATGGTGTAAAATTTTCAGGTCAGATATGTTTGACCGAAACCCAACCCATGTCGATCCTATATATAGACAACAACCATATCAATTGAGTTAATACTCAATTACTTTTTTTCTAAATTGCATCTCAAGATTAATTTATCAACCGCATGGTTTTTATTTTGACATTTGACTTATTTTGACATTAGAGAGGGTCAGCATTCGATAAAGTCGACTAAAATTCAAAATAGTTTCGAGTTATTCCCATTGAAGAGTTTTATTTCATAACACGAAGTTGATTTGAAATTTTTTTTCAAATTGAGTTGTGTCAAGTCAAATTTTTGAGTTTCTATTTAAATTTAATTGTAAATATATATAATATTATGATATTATTTTATTCTAATTTAAAAGTTTTTTTTGTAATCATATATAATCCATATATATATTTCATATTTTTTTCATGTGTGATATATATATATCATACAGAGTCGAACCCGAAAGACTCGACTGAAACTTGAAAATTAAACTACTAATTATTGAAAATTTTGAATTACCTGAGTTACTATTCGAGTTGTATTTTACAACTCGATCTGATTTTAAATTTCTTAATCGAGTTAAGTCGAACAAATCATTTTTTTGTTTATCCCTAATTAGAGATATTTATGGATGAGATTGTGATTAGAAATTTTTTGGCAAAAATGCATCATAAGTCCTATACATAAAAAAATCCATGTGATCATCGTATTATTTTTTTTTCAACGTGGTCCCCAACTCAAAAAATAATCCCAATGATACTTTGACATCGATTTTTTTTCATTGACCGTTATAGTACTGACGTGGTAGTTCACGATTCTGACGTGACATTCCATAGTGGTTGATAACGTGCCAGATTAGCTAAATTGATAATTTAAACATGATAGTTGAACTGTCACGTCAGTACCGTAGAACTCAATGTCAGTACATGAAATGTCACATCAAAACTATAACGGTTAACGATAAAAAATGTTATTTAAATGATCACATTAAATTTATTTTCTGAATTGAATGGTCATAAGAGAAAAAATAATACGAGGACGTTGTATATCCATATATGGCATGGAACCGGGCTGGTAGCCTGGGCCGTGAATGGTTTGTGAAGTATCAGCTTAATAATATAAGGCTCCGTTAAGCCACGCAATATTTAAAAATGAAAAAATTGTGGAGCTCATCCGCCAAAAATTGTTCTCAAAAAATTCGAAAAACCCTTTGCACAAATTCTTTAACATTCGAATCATCAAATTTCCATTTTGTTTTTTCTTTTTTAAATTTCTCCGATTCATTCTCAATCTCGAAACCCAACAATGCAGTCCACAATTCAATTGAAATCTCAATTTCTTCACTCCAGAACTGATTTTTTCTTAAACCCATTTCTCGAATCACCAATTCCCCTTCAGAATTTCACCAATTCATCGAAATCTCCAGTTTTCGCCGCTTTTCCTTTGTTTTCACGCAAAACCCAGATCCGAAAACCGATTGTTTGTGCAAGAAAAAGCAAAAGAAGATATGGGTCCAAAAGATCGACGGATTTAGCGCTTGAACTGATCTCAACTCTGGCTTCAAATCTCAAGGTTTTACCTCCACCGCTGGATCTGGTCCTTCAACATTTAGTTGCTGCAGGCGGTGAAGGCCTCGGATTCTTGAATGGCTTCAAGGGAGGAAGATTTTATCAATGGCAAAGACGAAGAGTGAGAAGAATAAATGGAGGGAAAATTTTAGGGTCCTTAGTGATTTTAGGGTCTTGCATGGTTTGTCTGTTGCTCGGGAAAGACGTAAGAAGTGATTTACTTTTTGGGATTTTAGGGTTCATCTGTTTTGTGCTTGCATTGATCAAGGAGTGGGGGAGAGGGTTTAAAGATTGGGTTTTTGGGTTTGTTTGTGTTGGAATTTTGTTAGGGTTAGGGTTTAGGGGAAATGGAGGAGTGAGATGGATTAAAGAAATTAGGGTTCCTTCATCTTCTTCAGTGATGGAGATTCTCAGGAGAGGCAAGAGGAGGGGTAGATGGACATTGTAAGAGGGAAAGTCTACGAGTTTTTCATTTGGGATCTGCAATTTCTTTCAATTGTAAATTTCATTTGAGTTTTGCAATTTCAATCAATCTTGTTTTTATTTGTATTTAGAGTGATGTGGTTAAAATATGAGTAAATTTTTTAGCATTAAAATTTTAAAAATAATAAAATAATCATTATTATTATCGTATTATTACAAATGGTCAAGATGATAACATAATTATCACTTGATTATTCATATATTTTAAATTATTTATTTATAAAAAATAGATGTCACTTTGAATCATATGTTAACCTACTTATTGAGATATGTTAAAATTTGATTTGATTTAATTTTATACCTTTTAATGGTAGAAGAATTCATCAAAGCAATATCATATAGTCAGATTATTATATAATTTTTAATAGTTGAAACATTTAATAAAACAACATCCTATAATCGAAAGACGATTTATGTTATTTACCCTTATTATATATTTGTTTTTTTAACAACTTGGAAAATATTTATATATTTTCTTTAAAAATTTAAATTCATAAAATTTATATAATTTTTTTTATAAAATTGAAAATATAAAAATGTTTAATGAAAGGGTAAATTTTTATTTTAACCTCTGGACTTCATATAAAATTTTAATTATAAACCTTTTTTGTAAATCTAAAATAATTTAAGGATAAATTTGTAATTTAACATTTGTAGAATTTTTATTATTCAATAACAGAATAAATATATTTTTGAAAGAAATTTTTTTAAGGGTATTTTAGTCCAAAACACCGGTAATCCAACAATAACTAAGGAAAGAGAGGTAATGACATTCCCGGTAATATATCCCAAAAAATCCACTATTGGTAATATAAGATTACGGGGAATGACATTCCCGGCCAACCAAACGGGAGAATGTGGATTTCATTCTCATGGAATCTCACATTCCCCCAACCAAACACACCCTAAATATCTAATATTTTCTAAATTTACATAGGTTCATACTTAAATGCCAATTCTAAGTATGAACGTGTATAATTTAAAAAATGTCAGAGACCTAACTGCACTAAAGAAAAAAATTAGATACCTAATTGCACTAAAGAAAAAAAAGCTTAGATACCTAATTGCGCGGACTTGTATTCTCGTATATTAGTCAAAACCAACGATTTTCGCGGACTTGTGCGATGAAATAGGGTTTCTTTTCTGAGCTTCCGAGGGTTTCTTTTCTGAAGGGTTTATACGTGAGCAAAAAACATAGAAATAGGGTTTTGAGGTTTCTTTGTAGCCTAAGTTACCAAATTATCCTTTACTTTTAAAAAATGATTACTACCAAAATAAGTACGCAAACTATACCCATTTTCTCAAATAGGTGTATAAACTAATTTTCATCTCATTTAGGTGTCTAACGTTACAAACGTTATCCATTTAGGTGCATGGGCCGGTAATGGTGTTAATTTTTTCGTTAAGTGACACATGTCACAATCTGGTAATTTTAAACTTTTTATTTAAAATTAAAAAATTTAAATTATATATTTTTAAAAAATAGAAAACATAAATTTTGAAATAAACCCAAAACTTTGAAAACCTTTCAAGCATGCCGTTGCCTTTTTCCATCGATGAAGATTCACCTGACCTCCCCTCCCCCGGTGACCGAAACCCCCATGAAATCGTGATCGATCGGCGGCCTATCGTCGACGAATCAACGTTTTAAACGTCCAAACCCTAGGATTAAAATCGCGATTTCGACGGCCAATCGACGAAAAATATGACAGTGTATGAGTAAGATGATGGCAGGGACGACGACTGTGGCGGTGCTAGTGGCCTAAAAGGGCAACGACGGTGGATTAAGGATTGGGTTTGGGATTTTTGGGGATGTTTTATAATATAAGAAAAGTTAGTGTTTTTTTTTATAAATATTATAATATTTTTAATATTTTATTTTAAAAAAATAAATTTCAAAATCACCAGATTGTGACATATGTCACTTAACGATGGAAATTAACGTCGTTGACGGCCAGAGCACCTAAACGGATAACTGTTGTAAAGTTAGACACTTGGATGAAACGAAAATTAGTTTATGCATTTATTTGGAAAAAGCGGTTTGATATTAAGCCTTTAAAAATATATTTAAATAGATTCCAATTCTCAAACTTATAAAATCATTTATTCAATTATTTGAATTGTGCACAAAGTTAAGCAATCTCGGTGGTAAACGAATTGGTATTTTTTCAGATCTCAAATTTGAGTATCAAAAATATAATAAATCTGTACTTACATCAGATTAATAAAAAAGCATGTTTGAATTGTATTATGATAATTTTGAATTATTTATTTTATTATTTAAAAATAAATCCTTAAAAATATTTTTATAATTTAATATAAGTAAATAATATTAATTTATTGACAAAAGTTATATAAAAATAATATTAATTTTCAGTTTTGTTAATAAACAAACTAAAATTTATAATATTAATTTATTGTACGAATATTTAATTATAATAATGTTTTTATATTAAAATTATACTATTTATTAACAATGCATTAAATGCTATAAAATTATAATATTAATTTACCACTGTGATTGTAATATTAACTTCAAATAAATTAAGAAAAAACAAATCAGAAGGTTAAATGAAAGAGACTCTATAAATGTGGCTGTTCTACGTAAATAATATTTTTAATTATTTAGCCAAATAAAATTAAAAATAAATAAGAATGTAATTCAAGTGCCATATTATATATTTTAATAAAATATAACTATAATATTAAATATTTAACATAGGAATTATTAAGTCTGCTGTAAATATTACCATATTTGCTCAGGTGAAATATTTTCCCAGATCAAGAACAACACTGCAAATTTGCTTGCAGCCATGAAAATAAAAATTAAATTCTTCAATCTCTCATTCCCTCTTTAAAAAATTTATTTGTCCCCTTTCTCCATTCACATATGAGAAGATTATAGAGCAGGATTAACCAAACTCGAGACGAAAAATACTCGAACGGCTTTAGAAAACTGAACATTTTTGCAGTTTTCTTTTCGGATAAAGTCGGAATGTACAGGTCGGGATTAGCAGACCGTCCGACCGTAACAGATCGACGCAATATATAGATTTTTAGCCCATTTTTCCTGCAACATGGACAATAAAACCGGTTAGAGATGGTTGCATCGGTGTTAAAACGATATCATGGGGTGAAAATACGGTATACCCGGACCTTAACATGGTTGCTTGGAAAGGCGGTTGTTCGCAGGGTTTCCTGAGTATCGTCCGCCGTGTTTCCCTTCGGGATGCTTAGTATGAAGGCAGCTTGATCCGCAGTTGCAGCCATTGATGTTATTCTGTAACCACTCTCCCATCGCCGATGTATTCCTTCGCTTGGATATAAAAAGTCGAGCTCCACTACCTTTCAATCGTTGAAATAAATGCAAAGCGAAGCATAATCAGCTATTCCGGAAATGAAGGGCAGTGGAAAACTGGATGTATGTAAAGATCGAAAGAAAGGAATACCTGATCGGAGAATCCAGCGTTCCTTGACATTACAACACCCCAGCGAGTTCCGGAGGTGGTCATTGATGTTACATGAAGACCTTCTTTCCACTTCTTATTTATCCATTTGAACGGAAAAGATTCACTCACTTTGTAGGACTGTTGGGTATAAGGAGCCCCTATGAAGACGAGGAATAATATCGATAACCGATTAGGAATTTATATGCTTTTGATATATAAGAACCTCATCCATGCTCGGAACACAATGCTTTAGGCGATAAATAAGCGTTAAATGAACGGTTTTCACATTCTCGTGCTAAATAAACTCGATGGCACTACGAAAGGTATCTTTGTCGAGTTTCAAAATCATAAAAAAGGAAATATATTTTTACTACGTAACGACCAACCTTTCGACATAACAACCAAGGAACTCCCGTTATTTGCCCCAGCAACCGAGGTGATATAGTAATTCTTTTCCCATTGCTCCATAATCCACTCCTGATAAAAGCGAGTCGATGGTAAAGTAAGTCAAAAGTGCAAGTAAAGCAGGCAGAAAAAAGGATGCCAATTAGAGCTTTCGAATGATAACCTTGTGCAGGAAGACTGTCGACAATTCATAAACCTGGGAAGAGAAACCGGTTCCCGCATCCATGATCAGAGCCCAGAGATTAGCGGCCGAGGCCACAGAACTAATAAGCAACCCATCTTCATTACCCTTATTGACATGTTGGCTCAACCTCATATCAGCTACATTGTAGTGGTATCTAAAAAGATGATTAAGAAAAGGTCGGATGAACGACTGTCGAGAACTTCCTGAAGATGATGAAAGAATTTGAGCCTCACGGCTAAATATTCGGAAATGCAACGTTACCTTTGCTTCATAGGACAATGAGCATTATAAACGGAGATCCACTGAGTAGCAGCATTACCAATTCGAACTTTTTTCTTAGGTTGTTCATCTTCTTCCAAATTAATGACTATTCTTCCCCGCTTTTGTCCAACCTATATATACAAAAGGAGATAGATAAAGGAAGGTTGTTTAATTGAAAATCCTTTCAAAACCAATTTAATTGGGGGGAAAGACAATAACAACCTTAAGAGCTCCGTCGATTCTAATTGGCCGTAACGGCATGCATGGTTCAATTAGGCTATCAAAAAAGGATATGAGCTTGGCATAATTGGGCTCCTCATCAAACTTCATATTCGAAATAGCTTCAAGGAACTGCTTAAATGGTGGGGGACAAAAGCAACACATCAACTCAGCTGAAGTAGCCATTTTTTTCTTGCAAACCAGAAAACTCTTGTTATCCCCCTGCCAAGTTCCGGGAAAAAAAACAAATGGTAAAGAGGAATGAAGTAAACCAGAATAGGTAAATCCACAATCAAAACAACAAAACAAACCTGATAACCCTGCCATGGTAACCGTCCTCTTATTAGAAATATCAAGGTGTACGCCAACGACTCAAGGTCATCCCTACGACTTCCAGTCCGACCTAAATGGGCATGTACACTAGCATACCTAATTGTTCCCCTGATAAAAAAATATCAAAGATATTAACACCAATAATAAGCAATAACCGGTTTATGATTAAAGAGACCGGCCTATGCACCTGAATACATCAGGCCTCTGATCATAACAAACATGCTGACCCGAGCGTGCATCCTTCCATCTAGAAGCTGGTCCGGTTACACGGGAAGCAGACAGCAATTAATACCAACTAGCAAAAAGTTAAATGGAAGTGCTCATGCTTGATACAGGAAGCGATGAGTCATCAACTGAAGAGAACTTACCTAAACCAAGATCAATAAGATATAGCTTCTTCTCATCGGCTGATCCGGGTCGACCTAGTAAAAAATTCTCAGGCTTCACATCTCCATGCACGAACCTTATTTCAAGCAGATAATAAACAATGACAATCAGTTGCAACTTGCAACTATGTCAAAGAACAGAAGGGTGAATCTAATAAACTACAGAAGGTTACGGTATGAGTTACCCCTTTAAATGAAGCTTTTCAAGAATCGATATTGCCTCGACCGCCACGCAAGCAACCATATTTGGTGACATCCTGTCATATTACAACATATCACAAATTTGAAAGAGTATGGTCAAATCACGCAAACATAGCACGTGTAAATACAACAAAGACAAAAGAGGAAGATCTATTTCTTACGATTGTCCCAAGGAATTCCAAACATCCCAAAGACTAGGACCGAGCATATCCATCACCTGAAATAGTCATTAATATTCTTTAATATGCATTAATTAATTCTGGACTTGCGTTAGGAGTGAGAAACTAAAACTCACCAGAACGTAGAAGTCTCCCTGAATACCCTTGTAATGTGCCCAAGGAATCCCATAGCACCCGTTTAAGGTACTTGTCATTTAGTAAGGACATTAAAAGGAAATAAAGTTAGAATTTAGATAATGCATTAAAATATGTAGAAACAAAGGCTTGACAATAAGTTTTTACGATTGAAAATGCCATACTTGTAGACTTGCCACTCGTAAGGCGGACCATAGTTGCAACCTTTACTGTTACGGTGCTCAAGTTTCAAGGCTACCTGTGATTAAAAATTCTCACGTTGTTACACCCAAATGGTTTGACCTGGAAACCCTTAAGAATGTGAATAAGTTTCTTGGACGTACCTCGATTGCATCTGGTCCAGTTCTACCACTACCACCACTTACCCTTCGGCCAACATAAACTTGGCCGAAACCACCCTTACCCAATTTCCTTTCTACCTTATATACAGGAGAATTACCCACTTGTACCTGCAACAAGTAACAAAAACGGTACTCAGTCAAGAGCTTCGTGGAGGTGAACAATGAAATAACTACGTATGCTTTAGTTGGAAAGAAAGTGAGGACTAAAAGATAGGTAACGGAACATATACTGAAATAGTCAAGACCGGATGCAGTATAACATTAAAATCAAGGTAGAAATGATTCACCAAATAGTTTGAAGTATATTCGAATTGTTGAAAAGAAAGAAACTGGAAAATTTAGAATTCAGCCAGTTTATTCTTGTCAAAAGTAAGGTGCCCTGAGATACAAAACTCAATATGAAAAATTTTAAGTGGAAAAATTACATATTTAAAAAGGAAAGATAATAAGCAATATGGAGTTACCCTATCAGGGACCGGGGTTGTACTAGCTTCTTCGTCAACTCCGACTATTTTGTCAGCACTTCTACCCTCCATTGGAATATCTTTATTGGCCACGACCTCTACTTGGTTAAAAGCTGGCTCAGCAGCAACCAAAGGCGCAGCCGCAGGAAGAACTTGACAAGGCTCAGGGTCTAAATCTATCAACCTAATACCCCGGCCTCTACCAGCAACTGTTGGCCTTGTGGGTACCACTGGTGAGGGCCCTTTGGCTACACCTGTAGCTTTACCCCTCCCTCTTCCTCTCCTCCTGGTTCGGTTTTGAACAGGCTGCGCACCATCCTCCGCTTGATCAGCCGGTTGGAGAGGCTGCTGATCATCAAGGCGTTTCGACCTCCGAGCTCCTCTACGCAAGTCTGGCATCTTCACCCCATGCAATTCACATTCCACTTAATTTCGTCACCGGCCCTTCAAACCTTAATACCGAAAAAGCAACCAATTTTACCGATATAGAAACTAATAAGCACATCACATTCAAAACACCACATATTTAGAAAGTTCATACAATCAATATAAGAACATAATTCATATACAAAACCATTTTTTACAATAATAATACAATTATAAAATCAGGAAACAAATAATTCTTCCAATAAATCATCCAATAAGTAGCTATCTCAATGGTACTATTTAGCAAACAGTCTTTAAAAATAAATCTATTTTTGCTAAGAACCATCAAGCTATTACAAAAATCAATGCAAGCTCATTACATATTTGATCAACAATATTCAAACTTCATAGATCATCAGTACCAGTCATTCCAACATCCAAAAAAAAAAGAACTTTTGATCAACAATTTCATTACCCAGAAATATGATGTAAACAATCGACGAAAAAAATTAAAACTTTACAGAAAGATTTTCCCTTCAATAATCAGTTGAAACCAGATTCTTAGTGACCAAACAAACTCTAATCCGATCATTCAACTATCCATAAAAAATAAATAATCAAACGAAAAGCCGATCATCAAACAAACTTAAAAAAACAAGAACAACAAGATCAATTACCTCACAAAACTCCACAGGTCAACCTCGGATTCTTGATGAAATGTTCAGAAAATCATTATTTGGGCTTGATTAAAAAAACCCAGAATTGGAAAAAGGATGATTGGGAGATAGAATCAAGTGAAACTATGCCAAAAATTAGGGCTATCGAAAGATATAGAATTTCTTCTTCTCTTCCTTAGAGAGATAGATCGATTGAATCGAAATATAAGAGAAGGTTGAGAAAAACAATTTCTATTAGGTCTAAAGATTTGGGGGAGGTTCGTATATGTGCCGAACAAAAAGAAGAAAAAAATGAAAATAAAAATTGTGTTAAATGTGAAATATAAATGGTAGTGATAATGGTTTTTGTTGATATTGTTCTTGGTTTATCAACGCTATTATTTATTTAATTATTATAAAAAATATAAGTTCAAAATAAGTTTATAAATATTAACATAAAATAATAAGATACATTAGATTTTAAAATTTAGGTTTTATTATTTCTCTTATTTTTAATATATTAGAAGATATATTGTTTTTATAGGGTTACGACGGCTGAATTTTTCAATTAATGCATTGAAAAAAAAATACTCGAATAATATAGTGTAGAAATTATTTCGTGAAATAGGGTGAATATTACAGTGTATTCCGAAGTCGCGCTGCCGTCTTAGCGTCCAGCCGAGACCCCTCGAAGATTCATTGGCGTCGTTGCGATTTAGCCAAAGACGCATGGCTTTCCATGCGTGGTCAGGGCAAAAAGGGGGAGGTGCATGGCTTGCCATGCTACTCCCAAGGGGGATGGAGTTGCATGGCTTGCCATAAGTCTCCCCGAAGGGGTTTCCATGAGTCTCCCCGGAGGGGTTGCCATGTGTCTCTCGGGGGTCCCCTCGCGTGGCTGGCAAAGTCGCATGGCATGTCACTCACGTAGGTGTAGTAGGTAGCAAGCATTCGAATGATAAAAATTTAACTCATACCCCTATCCTGTCCTATCCTATCTTAACTCATACTCTGTAATAACAAGTTGAACATTAAAAAAAATTCTTTCAACCATATATATATATATGTAATAATGAAATCGAGACAATTGCAATTCAAAAAATTGATAGAGGGAGCAGAAGCAATTGCAAATAAGATTAACAGGAGGAGCATTTCAGAAATTTTGGTGTGTTTTTTCTTTCGTTATTCTAATTTAAGTATGTATTATATAGTAAATTGGTTTAAATTTTTGTTATTTTGTCTGAAATTAGTATAATAGTTTATTAATTTTTTTTGCAGAATGAATGTGAATTAAGTTTAAAGAAATTTTATTTGATGTATTTTGCTATTGATTATTATGTTAATATTATTTTTATAAATATTTTTTAATTTTACGATTGTTGTTATATTAATATAATTTTTCCGATTTATGTTCATAGTGTACCATAATTTTTTTATTTTAAATACAAATTTTGAATTTGTAGAGAAAATGAGCAACAATTTTTTCACGATTGTCCATTATAATAGACATATTATGGAAAATTAGATCGGATTTTTTTATTATTATGAAAGACCTATAAATATGATGTTCAAAAGGGGCATCACATTTGTAGAAATGAAGCAGATGATAGAAAGGAAAATTCGAGCTACAATTGATGTTTGAAGTACATGTTTATGGTATATCTCAATCCAGTTAGATATGTTGCAATACCAGTTGAAGAAGATGATGATATTGGAACCATAATTGGATTACATGAGCCAACAAATATTTCAGTTATTGAGTTATTTGTTGATGTGCGCAAGATATATGATGTTCCTGGGTCATCAAGAAATGTGGCTGGAAATTCATCTCAAATGACTTTCGGAAGTGAGTTTGAGGACCCAACATACAAATCAATAACAATTTTATGGCGCTATTGGGAAGTGGAAATGAAGTCGGTGGAACATCCGCAGCAACATAGTACGAGGAGAGAAACATATATAACTTGAAATTGACCGTTGATGTTGATGCTAAAAATCGATTGGGAGAAATCCATGATGATTCTAACGAAGATGAAGAAACTGAGGAACCCTTTTTGGTCGACGATGATAATTTTGGCTGTGGTGGTGAACCTAACCCGACCATTGATGAAGTTCCAACACTGTATCAACCTACCTCTCACATGTACGAGATAGATTATGATGCGATGAGAACACTAGAATTCTCAGACATGCCACATATACCTCCATACCACATGGTTGAATCATTCAAAAATTCTGGTGAATTTTCGGTTGGGATGCAAAGATCCCGATATCTACTCTAACTGGTGTCTAAACATATTTTAACCAAACTATCTTTGAGTGACTTTGAAGCCCAATGGAGATAAAGTCCACATTCCATTCCTTATCGATTAGACATTGCCTTGTTTGCTTTGGCCTATAGTATACCACTATTCCTTCCCCAGTTAGATTAGATTTAGAGGCTGTTTGTTTACTTCAGAATGATTAAGCGTTGAATGATTCAGAGACTCTGAATGGTTTAGCTCTGAATATGACATGTTGTTTGATAACTGACTCTAAATGATTTAGAATGTATTTCTGCACTGAATCATTCAACACAGTTTTGTTGAATCAATCAGCACTGAATCATTTAAAGGTGCGAAACAAACGCGCTGAATGCTGAACGATTCAACATTCAGCGCTGAATGGGAGGCAAACAAACAGCCCCTTAGATTCAATTCCATTTTGGTATAACTCCATACTGCTATCTTCTATCATTGAACCCTTGCATGTTGAGGTGAATTGATATGTCCCGTCATAAAGCTTGAGATTTTTCCCAAGATCAAAAATATTAACCCAAACCATCCGAGCAACCTCCGACCACCTTTTGCTCGTCCGATTGAGAGATAACTTCCCTATGTCTGATCGCATAACGTTCGGATTATGAGATTTGTTTGAAAAAAGGAGGTGCTCCAGTTGCTTACCTTTGTAGGGAAACACCTTTGATAAAACTCCATCTCTCTTTCTGCTACCCCATCCCCTTAAGCCAGCTTTAAAGAACTTACGTACCCGTTTCTTCTTTCTCCTCCTTCCCCGGTTCCTATTAGACCGCTGAGTAAACACATCTTTCGTTCCTCCTCTTCCAAGCGAGCAAACACCTTTCTCAACCTGCAATGCCAAGAAAAAGATGATGCAAGAATGAAGAACACGTTTACCTCGTGGACGAAATCCGTGGGGAGTTCTGTTATGACAACCACTAGTACTCGATGAGTGATCCCTAACTAGGTTAACCTTGACATTAACTAAGAGAAACAATTCTTTTTCCACGTCATGAGGTCCAACCTCATTTTGTAGAACCTGAATGAAAAAACCAGTGAAGAAAACCACTGGAATGATGCAAGTTTTCCGATTGCTATCTCGTTTAGACTCGTTGAAATCCCAATATCGACTGGAGGACCTAAGAAAATAACCATTGTCAGACTTTAGAAACCCTTTAAAGGACGTAGAACCAGTTAACTTCCTAATACCATGAGCAAAACCACTTTGAAAGACTAGAGAGAAGGAAGAGAATCTCTCTCTAGAACCCATATTCCAATGTGCCGGCACTCGAACGTGACAACAAAAACGTGGAAATCTTAGCTGATAACGAGAGCCCTCAACCTTTAAGCCAAGTTGCTTTAGTTTAAGATAAACAATATAGGGTATATATTTCGTATCACAATCTAAATTCTTAATATTATATATATTTTAATTTAAATTCACATTACTAAAATAAATTCACATCTTAACATTAATAAATATATTTTATTTGTATCTTATCTTTAAAATATATTTTAATCTTTAACTTAAAAATTATATCTTATTCTTATCTTATTTTTTAAAAAATATATCTTAAACTAAAATAAAAATAAAATATATTTCATATGTTAAGAATAACAGAAATTCCTTACTACCGAGATCACTTGGTTCGTATATTCTTTAAATTAAAATAAGAATAAAATATATTTAATAATTTAATATAAAAACTTTCAATTTTTTATTTTTTATTGTATATTAATAAAATAATAATAAAAATATAATGTCATAAAAATTATTAATAAAATAAATTAGAATGACTAAAAAATAATAATAAAAATATAATTACATAATTCATAACTCAACTATCTTCTCACTCCTATTTTGGTCATTGAAGCTTATTTTTTTAATTTTATTATTTAACTTTCAAATTACTCCTTATTTAATCACTCTAGCTTTCAAATTTATTTTTTTATTTTAATTATATATTAATAAAATAATAAAAAAATATCTTGTCATAAATTATTATTAATAATAGAAATTAGAGTGATTAGTTGAGTAGTTAAATTGAAAATTTTTAAACTTTAATAACCAAAATAGGAGTGGAAAGATAGTTAAATGATGACTGATATAATTTACCCATAAAAATGTCACATGCAAAAAATTCGTTGAATTTTTTAACGACATGGTAATAAAATGAAACAAAAAATAAACTTTAGGTATAGTTTTGAAAAAGATGAAAGTTTAGGTACTAAAACAAATAAAAATAATAGTTTAGGTACTAAATGCGTAGTTTACCCTTTAAATTATCTAATGACGTGTAGTATTATGCCACATTTACCAAACAAAAAAAAAACATTAACGTAGAGAATCTGTGCTTGTATTCCAAAGGATTTACATTCTAAAGTTATACTTTGCCTAATTACTTGGGAAAAGAATGAAATGCATAGCTGGAAAAGAAAAGCATAAACAAGTCTTTATATTTGGCAACGATGATGAAGAAGAATCAATCCATCAACAACAACAAAACTGTCTTTTCCTTGTTTTCTTCCTTTCCCTGAATGATTGATCATCTAAATCACATTCATTTCTCAAAAATGGAGATGGTCAAGGGAAATCAGACTAAACATTGTTTTTTTCATGAGCATCCCTTGGTATTGGTTGAAGCGCAAGGGGATGAGAATGAGAAAGCTCTTTGCTCACTGTGTGGGGAAGTGATGCCAGCTTCAAAGTTTAGTTGTGTTCACTGCAACTACCACCTCCATCCGGAATGTGCCCAAATACCCCAGATCATTTTCCCACACCCTTTGCATCCGCCACACTATGGTCTTTGGTTCAGTTCACCACCAAAGATGTCGTATGGAGAGAGTGATTGTGCAATGTGCAAGGAAACCTGTAAGTTTTATTTTTATCGTTGTTTCAATTGTGGTGAGTTTCGTCTCTGCACCAAATGTGCTGTGTCTTCTTGGAATTTGATTGGTAGGAAAAACAAGTCAAAGTATGAGTTCAAAGATGAAGACCACCAACTTCCCTTCGTCTTCCTCCAAAACCATAGATATGAACTCAAAAGGGCCTGTTGCTCATGGTGTCAAGAATCCTTAATAGGTCCCATTTATGTTTCTGTTGGTTGTAAGTTTAAACTTCACCAAAAATGTTTTCACGACTTACCCACAGAAATTGCTCACCCTTGCCACCGTTTACACCCTCTCTTTCTTCACTTTGAGAAAAACAAGTTCTTTTGTGAGGTCTGCCAAAAGGATGACGATTATAATCTTTTGTATCATTGTTTGGCTTGCAAGTTTGATATTCACCTTGAATGCATTCTATCTAGACATATAGTTGAAGCTAACAGGAATCATGAACACCAGTTCATCCTACTTTACAGAAATGATCCATTCATTTGTAATGCATGTGGCACCATCGGTAAATTTGTTTCCTATATATGTCCTACATGCCACCTCCAAGTCCATAAAAGTTGCACTCAGCTGCCGCGGAAGATCAAAGCCGCTCGACACGGTCGTGTTCTTCTCCGCAAGTATTTCCTTGGAAAAGGAAAAGCTGGAGATTGTCAAATTTGTTTCGAGCAAGTGAAGGAGGAGTATGGATGTTACGGTTGTTCGAAAGAAGCCTGCAATTTTATGGTTCATGTGAAATGTGTGTTGGAGGATGATTCCTTGTACGCCATAATTGATCAAGAAAATGGAGATTGGGATGATGCTAAGGATTTTTCTCCCAGCATCCGTGTTATCAAGGTGAATGAGCGCGGCGAAGCTACGGAGGTACGTCATTTCAACCATGTGCACGATTTGGTGTTAGAAGACAAGATCAAAGGGGACGATGACAGAGCTTGCGACGGGTGCATGTTGCCTATCTCGACTCCGTTTTATTATTGTTCTAAGTGCGGTTTCTTCCTCCACAAAACCTGTGCTGAACTACCCAGAGTTAAACATCACTGGTTTCAACTACACGCCATCACCCTCGAAGCCCGTAATTGGAGCAGGTGTTTCTTGTGTGATCGCTTGTGCAGTGGTTTGTTTTATAGTGGTATTGGAGGCCGTAAGTTTTGCCTAAGGTGTGCCAAAGTCCCTTATACCATCAAACACGAAGGGCACCAACACATGCTCTTTTTTGATCATAAATTTCAAGGGGAATGCAATGGTTGTGGTCTCAATCATAGGTATTTTGGTGGATTCAGATGTAAGGAGTGCAGTTTTAGTTTGGACTTTGCATGCCTCACATCACCGCTTGCAGTTCAGCACAAATGTGACCGCCACTTACTGAGACTCAGCTACGATGATCGGAACGATGATCCAGAACAGTTTTATTGTGATGCTTGTGAAAAGAAGAGAGATAGTAGCCGTTGGTATTATTCGTGTTCAACTTGCGATAATTCTCTTCATTCCAAATGCACTCTCGGAAGTTATCCTTTTCTTAAAGATGAAGCCACTTTTGACCGAGATTATCACCACCACAGTCACATATATCTCGAGTACGTATGCAAGGTTGTTGACGGCTATCCTTATTGTTCGAGATGCGGTAAGCCTTGCCAAAATGAAGCTCTCAAGTGTACCCAATGTGACTATATCGTTCACTTCAATTGCGGTATGTTATGAGCTCCTCTTGTTTTTTTTTTCAATCACCGGCATCGTCATTGCTATTATTATTCTCTTGAATATCGTTCAATATCAACTTTACTTCTGTTGTCTTCATGATTGTAGCTTGATACGGTGAGCCAAGTGGTCACGAAGGAATTCTCGGCCACATCCTACTTGTCATCGCCACATATATATACTTAAAGTGCTTGAAAAGGATTGGTTTCAAGTGTTCGTTATCCTATGTCGGTGTTGTGTGTTGTTTTGCTTAATTCGATTTCAAGTGTTTGTAATCATACGTCGATGTTGTGTGTTATGTTGCTTGGTTTAATTTGAATTTGATCGTGTAATACTTAGTTGCGTTGTTCATTTCATGTTTGTAAAATATTTGGGTTTTATATATATATATATTATAATATTAAAACAAACCTTGATGTTTAAGGTAAATCTGAAAATACATATCAACAATCTTTCACAACTAATGATCGTTACACTGACAACCCAACATTTTCTAAGTCAAGATCGATTTATTAGATTGTAAGAGTAGATCCACATACCAGGTGGCAGTGCATAGATTTGCAGAAAAGCCCTTGCCGACCATTTCGT